GCAGGGTTTAGGGTTCAGGAGTGTGGCTTTAGGGTTTCAGGCGGCGCAGGATTGGTTGCTTTACGGATTTGTCCTGGAGGGGGGGGCTTCAGACTCAGGTGTCGAAGCCGAGCTCAAAATCCAAAGCCAAGTGCGCCTGCAAGCCTTCAAAGCTGGAAGTCCACCCGCCAAAAGCCGTCTCAAAATTCGAGATATGCAAGTCGGCCATTTGCATGCAGATGTTTGCAGCGCTCCACTCTCCCGCGATCCACCGCGGGTCCTTCTCTAGCTTAGGGAAAGCATTCATAGTTCCCTGAGCCTCGCCGCAGGTTTCTTGCTGAGCTCCGGCTGGCTTGCATTTTGACGGGTTTCGACAGTCGGAGTCTCACACGCCCTGGGAAGATTTCTGACTCAGGTTTGGCCAAGAGGCTACCTGACTCAAGGTTCATGCATAACTATCAGTAGGTTTTATCAGCGGCAAGCATCCCAGTCCAGGTGCAAGTACGCTCACAAACCCTCAAGTACGGCACACCCGCTGCATGAGGGATTGCTGGATGAACGAACCTAGCCATGCAATGCAGTCCTGGTTCACAGGGCCCCAGACCACGAACCCAACATCCAATACCCTAAACCCTAACAGTCCAAAACCCTAATTCCTGAACCCTAAACCATGGACCTTAATCCCTAAGCCTCAAACCCTAAAAGTCCAAGACCCGAAAGCCATTGACCGTCTTCACAGATCCCCCAAAAACCCCAAATGTCTGAAGGATCCCCCACAAATCCCCAAATCCCTTCTGCAGCCCCTCTTTGCTCTTTCCCGGGCTTCCGTAGCTAGCTTTCTTCAATTTGCAGCTGTGCCAGATGCTCCTGGCGCACGGGCATCAGGACTTTACTTACTAGCACTACGTTTACAGTAAGTACTCCTTCACTTAGTGTTTACTATGGTTACGATTATGATGTTATTTCTTATTATTACGGTCATGCTTATGGTCATGCTCATTTTGCTGATAATTATTTCCGTTATGGCCCTGGTTATTTCTTCGAGACGTAGGGCCTTGACTCTTCGCTCCTAATTGCAGCAGCGACCTGCGTGAGATCACTGTTTTGTTCATCCTTTTTGAGCCCCGTGTCGTTTGTTGCATCTTTCTGCATGCCTTCTTATTGTCACGAGTCGGGACCGTTAGTCCCACTCTGATCTTTTCCTGTGTCTCAATCAAGCAGGGAAACCCGTCCCTGCCGAATGACCTGATGCCTGGTGCTGGAGTTTTGCGAGCTGGATTCCAAAGTGGATCATGTTGTGTGGAAATGAAGGCATAGAGGGTAGAGCATGCCGGCTTCATCACATGCTGCTCCGGTGTAGCGTTCGAAGTTTCGCGTGCTTGTGCTATCACAGGTGTTGCACTGCGACCTGACGCGTTCATTCAGTGAGGGTTGTTTGTCTGAGCTACAGGGGTATAGTGAGATGGCTAGATTGAGGATTCCCGGCTGTTGGACCGAAGTGCAAATTGTTGACATGGGCCTTCATTTCCACATTGCCTAAAGATTAATGTCTTGCCTCCCGGCACTGTGCGAGGCGCATGCCTCCAGCAACCAGCCTGCCCTGCAGGAGCACTTTGATGACAGAAGTTACCGCATGAAGAAGAGCCGTAAGGGTACCAGCCTAGTACGGACATTTGCGAGCAAGGCGGTCATCAGAAATTGACCACATCATCTTATCTAGCCTGGACGTCGTGTCGGAAAACATGATCCGGGTGGTGGCATGAGCAGCAGCAGGAAGAGGAGGACGAGGAGGAGGAGGAGGAGGAGGATCAGGAGGAGGAGCAGTAATAGCAGTAGCAGCAGCGCAGGAGCAGCAGTAGCAGCAGCAGCAGCAGCAGCAACAGCAGTTGCAGCAGGCTGCAGCAGCAGTCGTGGTGGAGCGGTAGCGGCGGTTGCAGTGGCCGTGGTATTGGTCGTCGTAGTGGTAGGAGGACGAGGAGGACGAGGAGCGCAACCTTAATAGGAGCAATAGCATTCGTGGCAATTGCCGTAGTCTGAGGCATACTTGCAGTCATCACCATGCTCAGGATCATCACATGGACGACAGCACAACAATGTGTTACCATTGCGGGGATTCACTAGACTCAGTTGACCTGGAGTAGTTTTCCTGTCTTAGCCTTTGGGTAGACTAGCTTCAGAAGCAAGAGCATTGCACGGGAAGTGTTCGCCAAAGCATTTTCAATGGTTGCAGCCCCGTAGCTCAGTTTAGGTGGTTTGCGAGTCTCTCCAGAGGTGTGGCCAAGGTTTTGACAGCTTATGGGGATAGCAAGAAGACACGGCAAGGTGCTCGCAGGAAGTTGCTGCGAATTCATCGTCTTCTCGATGCCAACAACAGCTTTGATGTCATCTTACCCGAGGAAAGGCGAATAGTTGGCACGGGCAGACATCCCCGAATAGGCAACTTTCGGCGGACAGCGCTGATTGCAAGTTGCCGGCGACTTTTAGTGTGCACCAGGCAGTGCAGGCAAACAGACAAGCAAGCTTGGGGTGGATGGGAAGTGTTGGTGTCAAACCCAGGAACGTTTCTCCAGACACAGGGGACCTTGCGACCGCTGTTCTCAAGCTCATTCGGACATGAGGTGGTCACAGGTCAATCCGATCCTGATTCCTTTTTTTGATGATTTCCGAGGTCGCCGCGTTGGTTGGGCGCGGCCTGCCGGATCACAGTGCCGATAACAAGCATACTGGGCATTGTCATGAATATGATGCTTGCGGGTGTGTTTTCGTTCAATTTGTTTGCTGCACTGGTTCACGTGACACCGATGTTCGGCAGTTCAGCGAGTAATTTGCCAAACAACACTTTTGCAGCCCCGTCTCTATGCAGCTGATACCATAAATGAGCGTAGCTTCCAGGCGGGCTGATTCTGTGGGAGGTCTTATTCAAAGACAAACAGATCTTGATAACTTTGCAGTTCCCTTCAGCTGAACCGCACACCCCACACGCAGAACAGAGCTCCCGAGGCCGTATCGCCACTTTCCAGTCCCCCAACCCAGGCAATCATGACAGATTGGGTGGGTGGTTGTCAATATTAGGGTCCCTTATTGGGTCCTTATTATAATACGGCACCTAATATTTAGTAAGGGTACCCAAAAAGGGACCATAATTTTCACAATCACCCAGATAGTCACTGCTAGTAGAGCTATTGTTTGTTCCGAAATCAGTTTTCTCGTTTACCCTGCAGTGTACCCGATGTATCAGGGACCCCAAGGCAGACCATGACTTCGCCATCCGCAGAATCGGGACAGGAGCTGTGCCTTTTCAGAAAATATTGATATGACGTGCAGCTGCTCGGAAGATGCCGCCCTAACTCGAAAAGCTCATAGCCTATTATTTTGCATGTGGAGTTTGCTAGGCCCACTCTGATCGGAACATGGTCGATATTAATCCTCAATCCTCAGCCAAAATGTATCAGCTATGCTGATTCCCCGCCTTTCGGATGGCGCTGGGACACTTCGGAAAGGTGGTGCCTCGGTCTCACAAAGTATACAAGACATTGCAAGCACTGTAGTTTCATGTGCTTGGCTACTTGTTTTGCAACCGTTGTGCTCAACTTGTAAATGTGCGGAAAGTATGTAGCCTCGCTGCGGCGTTGCATGTCGATGCCGTTCTGAATCCGTCGAGTTAACCGTAGTCACGTAATGCAGGGGCCTTAACAATTCCCTATACTATTTTGGTGGCTCCTTATTATAGTTACAGTACTAGGGGCGCTAGAACCCCAATTCAAATTGTAAAGGATCCCTATATTATAGAGCCCTTATAGTAGCCCTTATGAAGCACCCTGGAAGGAATCCCATACTAAGGCCCCTATAGTATCCTCTGTAGTCGTCTAAACGCGGTGCCCAGGAGCTCTTTCCTTTTGCTGGAGACGAAGCCCGTGGCACGGTCATCTCGACCGGCAGGCTCATCATCTTACCTCTACTTAGTAGGGAATGGAGGAATGGGGTATGATTAAAATTACTACTACTACCATTCTTCCACTACCTACTAACCAAAGGTAAGTCATGGGGACAGTGGTGGGTCAGCTGAAGATGTTGATACTTTGGCGTTCTGGTTCAGGGTAGAACAGTTGGAGTCGAGAACGCCCGAATGTCTTCTCGCAGGATCCCTTGTCTTGTGTTTCGTTCATTTTCAAGGCATGTGCGATATTCCTTGTGTTCACCGTGCGGCCACTGTTTGAACAGTCATATTCAATTTCTCAGAGAAGGAGACAGGGGTCGGTTCCCAGCCCCAGTCGAGGTCGACACTTTGCAATTTCGGTGAGTGGAAAGTGTAGGAGGCGGCTTATAGCGGGCATCGCAGAAGATTCTTCGTGGGCAGTGACAGAGGTGCTCTGGTGTTCTCCATAGCTCCTTACCTGGTCACTGTGGAAGAGCTGTTGAAGACCGTGCAGCCTCATCTTGATGACATGCATGAGATGCTAGATAGAGACATGCTCGGCTAGAAGGCGCTTCACGGTAGGGGCCAAGGTTTAAACATTTGTACGATCTCTGCTGTGTCGATGCGGTTGGCAGGATCAAGGGCAAGGACTGGACATCGCCGGGTGAGTGGCCGGACCCTCGCATGATCCTGTTGTGACTGCTGCTCTGGATGTGATTTCTTTCCATCTCATGCCGATGTCTGCTTGCTGTAGCTATGTCACCGCTGCGAGTTGTGTTAGGTCTTTGGACAAGCTCTGCTGAACATCCAGACTGTCGGCTCAGTCACTGAAAGTGAAGTGACAGCCACCGGCACGTTGTGTAGTGGACAGCGACTTTTCCACACCAGCTGGGCCAAGCAGTATGGAAGTTGCAACTCCGAGCACTTGCTGTCAGAGCTTAAGAAGCATATCTAATTTTGTTGGAGTGTTTAGGGCCGTTAAGAAGAGCAGAATTCCCAAACCCAACATGGTCTAGTCCGGGTGCGCAGTTCAGCCCAGTGTTTCGACATCTGTTCCCAAGCACTTGCGTGGCTGACATGCCCCTGAGATGGGTCGACGCTCCGCATGCAGCTGCCCCGCGCTGCAGACATCTCTGTCTGCTTCTCCTGTGCTGAGGGCTGGGATGGCTACCCGTTGACGCAGCCACTAAAGGGAGGCACGCCGGGGGTCCTGAGAGCTTTCGTTCTCCGTGCAAGTGCCCGCAGGCATCGGCTTTCGTTGCTTCTGCTGTGACAAGTACTGCTATGGCGTGCGCTATCAGCTTGCAGAGGACGGCCGTATGTCGAACGCAGTTGCCTGCTTAGACGCTCAGCCTTCGGAGACCAAACTGCCGCCGAAGCTTCGATGTGCAGTGGATTAAAGGTACATGTTGAAGCAGGGTTCAGAAAGATTTGCTGTCCATGGATTTTGAAGGACTCTGGCCCTTCTGAAGGTGGATTTTCGCGGCAAGCATCCCAGACACTTGACTTCAATCTTGCACGACTTCGCAGCTGAGGATGTGCGTGCGAACCCCTAAACCCCAAAACCCTAAACCCCTAAACCCCAAAACCCTAAACCCCTAAACCCCAAACCCTAAACCCCTAAACCCCAAAGCCCTAAACCCCTAAACCCCAAAACCCTAAACCCCAAAACCCCAAAACCCTTAACCCCAAAACCCCAAAACCCTAAACCCCAAAACCCTAAACCCCTAAACCCCGAAACCCTAAACCCCCAAACCCCAAACCCCTAAACCCCAAAACCCTAAACCCCTAAACCCCAAAACCCTAAACCCCTAAACCCCAAAACCCTAAACCCCTAAACCCCAAAACCCTAAACCCCTAAACCCCAAAACCTTAAAAGAAGTGGAGCCCTGAAGCCTGGTTCTGTCAGGCTTGCGGAAGCCGAGACTCAAACCTGCTCCACCAGGGCTACAACATGGGTTCCGGAAGAGGCGCAGCATGTTGGGGCATGGCGATTCGAACTTCGAGTCAGAGAAGAAGACCCGAAATCCCTTCTCCCTGAGCCCCAAAACGCTGAAAGCCCGAAAATCCGTAGCTTCACCAACAACCTTGGAACCTCGAGACACGAAACACCCAAAACCCCAACTCTCACAGGTCAGACCCGAAGACACCTCCGGCATCCCATGCTTGGGGGCGTGGTTGGCTGTGCTGCAGCTGGACAGCTTCCTCGACAAGGCTCGGAAGCGATCTGGACAGTTTACACTCGAAAGCCTTGTCCCGCTAAGGGATCGCAACAGGGATCAGACAAGGAAGCAAACGAAATCGGCAGCAGCATCACCACCAGAACGAGGATCTGGTCAGTGTCCGCTCACTATCTTGCATACGACTGTAAAGCGACGCAGGACCCTTCACGTCCGCCTTGGGCGGGCAGTCGCGCATTGGAGTCGTACCGAAACCACCATGGAGCGACAAACGAACTCCCACCCTTCATGCCGAGAGCCGGCCTCGGCGCATGAAAACATAGCTTAGTAGCTGAGTAGGTAGCCTTTAACCTCTTGGGGTTTAATATAGCCTATTTTTGGGCTAGGATACTCAGCCCCTATGATAGAAGTTTGTTACAAAAGCGCCGATTCACATCATCCGGGCCATCATATCTTTGCATTACGCCTATGCCAAGATATCTCCTGCAATGCTTTCGGTAGACAGAAAGAGTGCTGCAGGCTTTTAACAATAATACCGGTACCAGTTGATGGTTTCATGAGTGTTGGTGCTGAAGACGGCACGGAGCATTCTGATGGCAGTGCCGATTGTGTATGGCTGTTACGGCAATAAATGTAAGAATGCCACGGGCGCAAAGAACTTCAAGATCTAGCAAGAGGAGATGATGGCTACGATCTGTTTGCGGTGATGCTGGCAAGCGTTTACAAAGGATTCTTCGAGTATACAGTGTACACGGAAGGGAATGAATCGCAAGAAAACAACAGGGCATTCAGCACGAGACAATGATACTCCTAACGGGGACACCGCCACTAAACCCTAAGCCCGAAGCCTCAGACCTCAACACTCCCAAACCGCGAAGCCCAGCAGAAGCCCGAATCCCTGGACCCTAACGCCCCCGAGCCCCTAAACAGACCCCTCAAACCCCGAATCCGCAGCCGAAGCCCCCCAAACCCTGAACCCTAAATCCCCAATAAGCCTAAACCCCCTAAGCCCTAAACCCCCAACCCTAAATCCCTAAATCCCCAAACCCCCAAAGGGTCCTAAAGCCCCTAGACCCTAAACCCTAAACCCATCCCAAAAGAGCTGATTGACAGCGAGGCCAAAGACTGGTGCGAGGAGATGGGGGCTGCAGAGCTGGATGAGATCCGGGAGAACTGGGAGGTGGGTTTAGGGTGCGTGCAAAAGAGGCCTTAATAATACCTATACTATTTTGGGGGGTTCCTTATTATAACTGTATATATATATATATATATATATATATATATTCGTGAAAAAATTAAGGCCCCTATCATCTACTATAGAGGCCTTAGGAATTATTACCTATACTATTGCGGGGGTTTCCTTATTAGACTTGTAGTATAATGGGCCCCAAAACCCTATTCTGATTATGAAGGGCCCCTCTTGTAGAGGTCAGGGGTTTGTACGGTTTGTAGGATTTCTATAGGGTTTCGGGTTTTAGGTTTCAGGGTGGGTTTAGGGTTCCAGGGTTTTAGGGTTTTAGGTTTAAGGTTGGGTTTAGGGGTGTAGGGGTCAGGGTAAAGGGCTTAGGGGTCAGGGTTTGGGGTTTCGGGCCGAGGGCTTCTTGTCAGATCTCGGCAGCACTCAACCTTAGATAATACTATTATAGCATAGTATTACTATAGTATAGTGCTAGTATAGTCTAGTATTACTATTATAGTATAGTATTATAGATGAGGATTCTTCTATGAACTTGTAGGGCATCTTCAGCCCCCGGGCACCGACAGCCGACACCGCATAAGTCGAAATCGAGCGTTGAGTTCGGTGTTCGACTGCATCGGTTCTCAAAGCCATACTCAGAAGTCCTAAATCTTGCCCCATCAGAACTTGTGAAGAGCAAAAACCTACGAAAACCGTCTACGGTATCAGATTGCTTTGCTTCATGGCCTATCACCGCTTGTGGAATCCAGCTCCAACCCTCCTGAAGCCGTCTCACAGATTGAACCCTCATCCCTAAATCCCAAACCCTACACCCACCAACTCCTACACCCCAAACCCCAAACCCCAAACCCTAAGCCCCAAACCCTAAGCCCGAAACCCTCCCCTACTTAAAGGATCGTGGGACTTAGTAACCAGGGTTATAAATAAGGTAGCCATACTTATAATTACTTATAACCCCAACTACGTACTTATAACCTTACTTACTAAGTCCCATGATCCTCCAAGTACACCCCCAAAGCCCAAAATAACAGAGGACTTCGCCTCCTACCTGGACCTCTCGGAGGAGGAGCGGCAGCGTTTGGCTGAAGCCGCCCGGCCAGAAAAGCCCCCAGAGACTCCAGTATCCTTCAAAGGGATCCTGATGGGTTCCTTTAAAAGGGATCTATGTGTAAGGTTTAGGGTTTAGAGATTTCAGAGACTCCAGTATCCTTTAGTTAAGCAATATTCCTTTCATCATATTAAGGATCCTACTATGATCGAAGGTATATTCCTGTATGAAGGGATGTTGGAGTGTCTGGGCAGTGGGACTTTGGGTTCAATCGGGTTAAGGGTTTGTGGCTGAGGGTATGGTTAGGGTTTTTAAGGTTTCGGGTAATCGCGGTTAAGGGTTTGTGGTTGAAGGTTTGGTGTAATTGCGATTTGGGGGTGTTAGGCCAGGGCTTAGCTTAGCTTTGGCCCATGACGGCCCCGTAATGAAACTTGTGAGAACTCTGGAAAAAGCTAGGATTGACCGTCGTCTTAGTAAGACTGGCAGTATCAAGCCGTAGGTCGGACTTATGGCTGCGGTAATCCTAGAGTCCTAGAGACTCACATATCAGTTAATTTAGGAATGTACTTCAAAATATACTGGGATCCCCAATATGATTTCAGGAATACTCTTTGATTATGGTAAAGTAGAGTGTCCCCTTGACCGTAGAGGTCATCGTGCGGCAACGACGATCGAAGTAGTGGCACTGGCGATCCCAAGCACTCGATGAAGGAAGATGATGCATACTATCTTGGGCCCTCGTTTTTCATTCATGGGATAGTCCTTCGATGAGGTGCCTTGGGTTGGATTTGTCAGAGATCTGTTGTGTTTGCGACCCCGCAACAAAGAGGATGTGCCCCGAAACTGGCAGGCCTCTAAGGTGTAACATTATACTATAACAGTACTATACTATAATAATACTATACTATAATAGTAATACTAGACTATACCAGTACTATACTATAATAATACTATACTATAATAGTACTATATTAAAATAAGACTATACTATAGTAACAATGCCATACTATAGTAGTTTGGCACCGCCCACGTCCCGGAAGCTCTGAACTTGAGTCTCCTCGGCAAAGGCATGTGCGCCCCAGCCAGAAACGCCTCTGTCGCCCTTGCCGGCACTTCGGCGGCATCTTACCTTTTGGTTAAAACACTCATCCGGCCACTCCTAAAGCAGAAGACCTTCTTTCTACATCACCGGCCCGAAGAGCCCTCTCCCAAGAAACTCTAAAGCCCAAGACCTACTCGTCGCCAGCCACCCGAATCGTAAGCCTGTAAGAGGCCACGAAGAGCAGAGAGTTTTTCGGCCCGGATGATGCTCCCTACACTGTCCTTGAGAAGCTTGGCCAGGCCGTGGTTGAAAGTTGAGAAGGAAATACTCAAGCTTGTTATAGGACCCTAAATCCTTTAGGGTTCCTTAATTATAATTACAGTATAATGGGCCCCAAAACCTATTCGAATCATTAAGGCCCCTATATTACGTGGAGGTTCATGAGACAAGGCAAGTCCAGTTTTAACTGCATTCATCAGTACAGTTGCCTTAGTTACGAAGTCGCATGAACCTTGAAGTAGGATGTGGATTAGGGCCCTTTGTTAAGAACCATGATGCTGTAGATGTTCGATTTCAGGGCTTTGGTGCTTTGGCACTTAGGGTTCGATACTTTTGCCGTGGAAGGTAAGGACGTCCCAGCGATGTCGGATTGTTGGGTGGAGTTGCTGCGGTTCCGTTCTGTTTTCTATGAACAAAGCATTGAGCTGAGCCGGAGGAGCCTTTCGTGATACTGGCTTTTTTCGCTACTCGGAGTTTGGTGTTGTGTCTACTCTCCGTACTGTCTTTGATGGCATCAGAGTCGCGCAAGAAGTCTGGAACCCCTTCTTACCTTGCAGGGTGCTACAGCCACCGTCTATCGCTGCAAGCGCGGGCAGGAGGAGTATGCCCCTCGGGTTGGCACCAAATACCCTCAACCCGAAACCCTAAACCTAAACCCCATATACCCTACAGCCTATGCCCTGAACTCTAAACGTTCGCATATACCGCAACAGTATACCCCGCCCTATACCCTCAACGGTATACCCCATACCCAAGACAGTATACCCAACAGTCTACCCTCGACCCAAACCAGAATACTCTTTACCCTAAACGGTATGCCGCATACACTGTGCCCTAAACAGTCTACCCCATACCCTAAACAGTAAAGCCTACACTCTACCCGAAACCCTATACCGTTAACAGTATACCCGTTGCCGCAACCCCGAAATCTGGCGAGCTTGAGGCTGTCAAGGTCATTGACTTGCATCGCTTCTGCCTGCATCCGGAGTTCCAGAAGTTCCGCCAGCACATTCGACGTGAGATGTCCCTTCTGCTGATGCTGCAACACAGGCCCCAATCACTTACGTGTGAAACTTCTAGTTCATGCCAGGACCAGCAGAAGTGGCTTATGTATAGATCTTGTTTTGCCTTACATATGTGTACACACCCTCACTCACTTAGACTAGACAATGCAGTGCGGCAACGATATTGCTGTTGTTCTTCTCTTTCCCCGCCTTGGCAGTCCGGCTCCTGCCCATCAGGAACATCGTGAAACTCATCGATGTCTTCGAGTCGCCAGTCTCCGATGCTAGGGAGGGAGGCTCATGTGATCTCAGATGTGACCCTTTCGCCCTCGCCTCTAAAAACACCAACCGACCAACGTTCGAAACTACGGTTCTCTCTGCTGAATCCAGAGAGACCAGGTCCAAGGACACCTTCTTCCTGGTGATGGAGCTCGTTCGGGGAGGTGACTTGAGTGAGTATCTGCTGAAGAAATCCCATGGGCACCTCGATGACAAGGAGGCCTGCCATGTCTTCTTGCAGATTGTGGAGGGGTTGACTCTCAGCTGAAAATGTGGCAGCCTTTAGCCCAAATTTCAAGAGACTCTCATCTGTGGCAGTCTTCGCAAACAGAGGAACCAAATAATTCACACCTAAACTGCAGGACCTTTGGCTAATGGTAAGGATGCCTCAGCCAGGTAGCCCAAATTTCAAGAGACTCTCATCTGTGGTTTTTTTTGTGCTCTTTTTGGAGGCTAGCCCTGCTCCAGACCCATGCATAGAATAGTTCGCGCTTCTGTCGCGCCCTTGACTAGCCCCAAGAGGAAGTGCCGGCTCCCTTTCGATCCCGAAACCCCCAACCCTAAACACGGAAACCCTAAACCCCCCGAGCCACCCAAAAACCCTAAACCCCCCCCAAAAACCCTAAGCCCTGCAGCGATGGGCTTCAAGCCTCGAAACGCCCGAAGCAAGACTTCCGAGCCAGCTTGGGCACATCGAAGTTGTTATCTGTAATAGCACACTACCGGCAAAGTATATAGAATCTACGGTAACATATTATACTGCCGGCAAAGTATATAGAATCTACTGTAACGTTAACATGTTATACTCCCGGTAAAGTATATACTAGAAGTTAGAACAAGCGACTACAGTATGCCTGGTGCGCTATGATGTGTCACAGAGTATCTGAGGAGCCACATCCACTCCAAGAACGTCGTTCATCGGGACCTGAAGCCCCAGAAACTTGGACGGAGAATCATGATGAAGCTGAGCGGCATGCCCACTTGCGAGAATATGAGCTCTTAGTCTGCTTTATTAGCCATCAAATAAGTACAGGTGGAGTGAAGTCTGAAACTTTATGCAAGGCCCCTCCAACCAGCCCTGCGACTCTAAGTGGAAGGAACATCCTCCTCGTCGACCCTGTGCCGGCAGCCTCATCCAACTTGAAGGGGACGGTCTCACAGGTCGCGTCGGTGGGGAGAGCTCTCGTGACAACAAACAGAAACAGAGCTTTTCGGGTGGTAGGCCATGGTCATCGTCGTCACCATCGTCGTGTAGTCGTAGTGTAGTCGTGACGTGCTCGCAGTGGAGTCGTAGTGGTGGTAGTGATGGTCGTAGCAGTGCGGTAAAGGTGGTCTTGGTAGTGGTGGTAGCATTGGTAGTAATAGAAACAGTATTATTATTCTTACTATTATGATTAGTAGTAGTAGAGCCGGTGGTACTGGTAGTGGCGAGTCCCGGAGCCAGTAACGGTGGTCGTAGTGGTGGTGGTGGTGGCGGCGAGAGCTATTACGATGGGAATGCAGAACACCTATACCGATGCTTCATGTCATGGTTGTTGTGGTAGGCTTGGGCAACGAGAATCACGAGCCAGCATCATCCTATCTATGTTAAGGTCGCCGGTGGGACCTAAGCCTAGGTGTTGCTACGTTTTCACGGCTTAGAGCTAAGAGGATGGCCGGATCTCGCTGTTCTGGCGGTCGTGGGCTTGAGATGGAGGGATGGCAGTTGGGAAGCAGATGGTTCAATCAAAGCTGCTTGCAGTTGGACTTCTCTTCCGGTGACAAACGCTGACAAGTTCATTGGTACACGTGCAGCCGTGTTGCACCGTTGAAGCACTGCTTCAGACACACGGCGGAATATTCCATATGTATATATAGATATATACACATACCGATTCCTGCCGCTGCGTGTCGGCAACACGTCCGTTGAGAAACATACAGTGCTGCTGGACATAAATGCAAGGCCCAGTGGAGCACGGCGCAGAAAGCAAACTCGCAGGGCCATCATCAAGACCAACAGTTCCGTGCGTTCATGTCGCTGTCTCTGCCCCATCTCCGTCACTCTCTCTCGCACTCTGTCTGTCTTTTTCTCTTCTCTGTCTCTTTCTCTCTCTCTGTTCCCCTCTGTCTTTGTCTGCGTCTCTCTGGATGGACAAACAGTATGTGGCACAAACATACATGCAGCGGAAGGCGACATACGAGTCCTAAATGAATGTTACGATTCCGTCTCATGAAAGTCTCTGAAATCTTGAGCCCTGAGACATCACTTACTCTGGGACTCTTAGAGTCCTTACACCATGCCATGGCCTTGAACAGCCATCACGAAGTCCCTGCAAAGAAACCTTCTGGAAACTCGAAACCCCAAAACCGTCAAATGCACCACAAAACCTAAGGCCTTAAACCCTACTCAGAGGTTCATGGGACTTAGTAACTTTTAAGGTAACTATACTTTTAACTAGTTATAACCCCAGTTAAGCTTATAACTGTAGTCACTAAGTCCCATGAACCTCCAAGTACACCCCGAATCTCTGAGAGGTGGAGGTCAAACTGTCGGACTTTGGCCACTCCAAGCTCGTGCGGGACGCCGCCCCAAGCTGTGGTTTGCAAGCCTTGCAATTGGGTGTAGGGTTTAGGGTTTAAGTTTTTCAGGGCAGAGGATTTGTTGGGGACTTTGGGGTTCCGGGCTGCAGGACTGAACGTTTAGGGTCTGAGGATGTCGCGTGCGAGGTGTGAGTTGTGGCGATAGCAACAGCGGCTTGAGCAGCAGCAGTACGAGGAGCAGAGCAGCAGTAGGAGGAGCATCAGGAGCAGCGGTGGCAGCAGGAGCAGCAGGAGGAGGAGCAGAGGAGGAGCAGCAGGAGAAGGAGCAGCTGGAGGAGCAGGAGCAGGAGCTAGCGTACATCTTCCTGGACTCCAGGATGGCTACACCTACGCGCGATCGCATGTGGGCCTGGGAGCCAAGACACAGCGGGCTGTTTCAGGGCTTAGGCGTGCAGCGGCAAACCCTGAGGGTACGACAGTTGGGGTTTAGGCTCTGGAGTGGGAGCGTAGGGCTTGGGCCACTGACCGGTGGCTTGGATTCCTCATGCCCCGTGAAAGAGATAGGGAGAGAGAGAGAGAGAGGCAGTTGCGTTTCAGGTTCATTGTTATAGGGGCCTTGATACTTAGAAGAGGGCTTTGGGGCCCACTATACTACAATTATCCACACAATAGTATGGGTAATTATTACGGCCCCTATGTTACCTCAGTTTTTGGCTGGTTTGGGCGAGTTTTGGCCGTCGGCTTCGTCTTGTGGCTTTGAAGAGCAGAGCCTGAGGTACGCCGCAGTACTTGGCACCAGAGGTCCTGGCGCCCAATTCAGTCACTCCAGACGCTCTCCTGTTCATCGCAACTTTTGGGGTTTTGTTTGTGGAAAAGGCTAAGGCTGCTAAGGATGCAAGGGAAGAACATGCACCCGAAACCAAAGACCTTCAACCGTCGAGTTCCGAATTGAGAAGGTATGCTCGAGCAATGGGAGCTACGATGAGTGTCTTGTCTGCAGGTGCGCATGAGGTTTCGTGAACCTAGGCGGCATTATGTGGATTCTAATGTTTACCAAAAGTTCGCTACTTTCTGAAACTCCTGCGTGTCCACGGCCAGCCAAGTAAACGACTGTTGAGGGCTTTGGGAATGCGAAACCCTTGACAAAGTAAGATACCTGTAGGAAGCCTCTATCAATCCTCTAAACCTTGACCAATGACCTAAACCCTATTATAGGGACCTAAATAATCACCAATAATATTCTGGCGGTTCCTTGTATAATGGGCCGAAACCTTATTCTAATTATTCAGGCCCTTATTGCCTTATAGTAACCCTTAACGACCCTTTATAAGAACCCTGAAAAGGAACCCTAAACCCTAATACCCTCCAAGTTTTGTTTGCCCGATTCCTCTGCAAGGCGAGCGGATGTTTGGAGCTTGGGCGTGATACTCTTCGTCATGCTGACCGGCCATTACCCATTCCGAAGCTCAGAGGATGCGGACTTGGGGAGTTTACTATAGGGGCCTCAATAAGTACCTATACTATTTTGGGGGGTTCCTTGTTATGGTTACAGTATAATGGGCCCAAAACCCTTGTCTAAATATTAAGGCCCCTATATTATCTCAGTGTCATCTCCTGGGGGTTCTGGGGAAGGGCCGGCTGCCCATTTCCAATCCTGCAGAGCCCTGAAACCCAAACCCACATCCCTGCAGGATCCCCTCTTCTGGGAAGGCACGGCGGGATGTGGATCTCTGAGCACCAGGGTCAACAAAACTTCGTCTTCCTTCTCCGGCTTGGGATGTAGAACCTGGGCGCGCGGAATGTCTGGGGTTTCGAGAAAGTAGGGGTACCCTTCCAGTGTCTCGGTGTTGTTTGGGAGACAAGGTGGGTGAGCAGTTCCCTTGAACGTAGGACTTCGCGGCTCCTAGCCCTCGGGAAACAAATCAAAAATCAAAATTACGTGTCAACTTGTTCAGCCCATTCCCTTCACAGCGAGAGCCCTGCAAACATCTCGTCGGTTGGGATTTCTGAGTCCCGTGGACCCCAAAATTCAGGTCTCATTTTGGTTTCGAGGGTTTAGGTTCTCGGCTTTGGGTGTTTAGGGAGGGCAAGTTTCGGGCTTCAAGAGACTCGCTCAGGAGCCTTCCCTATGAAACCTAGGTTCCAGGTCCTGCCCCCTAGACCCTAAATGACAGACGCTCTAATCCTCAAACACCATAACCTGCATGAACTCACAGCAGCAACGCAAAGCCCCGCGGCCGGCGAGCAAGTTTTCTCAAACCCAAGTTTTCCACCTAAAGTCTTCAAAGCCGTGGCCCGAGTCGCTACGAACACCAAGCCTGATACCTGCCTTAAATCCGCGTGCCACCTTGGTAAACACCTGAAGCCCAACTCCATAGCTACCCTCAATCCTAAATCCCCAAACCCTAAACGCTGTCCTACGTCCCTAAACCTCAAAATCCCCAATCCTAAACTTTAATCCCCAGGACCTGCAGGCTTGAGCTATGTGGAGAAAGAGTCAGTGCACTTAAAAAAACCTTAATCCCTAAGCCCTAAACCCTCATGAGCCTTAAAAAGACCCTGAACCTTAATCCCTAAGCCCTGAAGTCTCAAGAAGTTGCAGGTCGCTTTTCCTTCCGCGGCAGTGGCCGCGCAGAGGAGCTCCTACGAGGTTTGATCAAAAAGAGGCGAGGTTCGGACTCCTTTGACTCAAAGGGGAAAAGGAGGGACCCTTAGGCTCTTACATTTCCTTTAAAGGGATCTATAAGGGTCCCTTTAAAGGGATCTATAAGGGTTTAGGGTTTAGGGTTTAAGGGAAAAGGAGGGACCCTTAATGGGGACCCCTACCCTGTACTGGGCTCTGTAATGGGTATATAATGGCTATATTCAGGGTATATACTTCGGGGTCCTTATTCAGGGTCCCCCCTTTTACCCTTGGATTCAGGGATCTTTAGGGTCTATCGGGTTCCCTTACAAGGGATCTCTAAGGGTTCCTTTGAGGGATCTGTAGGGTCTATAGTGGGTCTACAGGGTTCCTTTTGAGGGATCTATAGGGTTCAGGGTTTGCGGGTTTTCCAGAGACTCCAATATCCCCCTATTCAGGAATTTCCCTGAAATCATGATAAGGATCGCTACTCTGGTACAAGTCACAGGGACCCTTAGGGGGCAGGGGGGGAGCGGGGCAGGAGACTATACTTTTCTAAATAGGCCTTGGTAGGGGGGAGGGGGTACACCCCTTAGGGTTTTTGTGAGTATATTCAAAAAAGAGATATTGGAAGATCTGGGTCCTGCAAGCGCTCCTTTAGGAAGCTGCTACAGGATTTGGGGTTTTGGGATTTAGGGTTGATTCTGGCTCAGCCCCAACCCAACCCTAAGGGGGATTTGACTTTTTTAGGGTTGGGAATCGGAGGTTTACGGACTTTTCGGGGGTTTAAACTCAGGATGTAACTCAGGGCCTGGGGGACTGTGGGCCTAGCGGAATCATGTACTCAGAGCCTCCAACACCCCTGAGTTCAGGAATTATACCTGAAAAGTCAATTGGGAACCCTTAACATGATTTAAGGTATTTTTCCTCATTAAAGGGGTTTTGACGTCTTTGGGTAGGCTTCTTGCGAGAAGTCAAATTAGACACCGAGTTATAATGAGGATAGCAGATTTTCAGCAAATCTTATCAGCAGAAACCCGTAGCATGCATGAATACGTACATCTAGAAAATCTAGAAGCATGTGGCAGTTTCATCATGTATTGCCATGTGTATAGAACAACAGGTTCATCCACTCGATGCGAAGTGCTAGCCGACATTCACATAGCGGAACAGTCATAAGCACAGCACTTTAGGACTTTCCTTCTGCAGCGGTACCTTCAATCGTAGTTTGCGACATCATCATGCTTGGGATTCTCACCATATTAGGTCGAGCAAGTCGAGGCTGTTCTTCATCCAGGCCCGAAGATTTCCTTTGAGTTCGAAGCCAGACGAGAGCGTCGGGAGCAAAGGAGCAAAAGCAAAGCATGAACGGCTTGGGTAGTTGTCAAAATTATAGTCCTTTTTGGGTACCCTAAACATTAGGTGCCGTATTATACTAAGGACCCAAAAAGGGACCATAGTTTGACACCCGCCCGCTTCCATCTGCTTTCGTGCTTCAACCCTGGAGCTCGCTGGACCTCTTTTCATCTTGCGCAGGGCTCACGGCGTGCTTCTTACCCTAAGGGTCCATGGACCCTTAGGGTTAGTGCATCGATAAGGCACTTAGTCTAAATCTGGAAACTGGAACCCTTATTCTTCAACCCCTATGCCCGGAGCTGGCAAAGAGGAGCAGGCGCAGGATCGGCGCGCAGTATGTCGGTTAGCGTGGAAGTTGCAGAACAGGATGACCAGGTGGAGGCCTTGAAACTTCGGGCGCAGATCTCACTTGGAGTCGGGAAAGGCCGGCTGCTGGACTCATCCGGAAGTGTGCAAACCCTAAACCCTAAACCCTAAACCCTAAACCCCTAAACCCCTAAACCCTAAACCCTAAACCCCTAAACCCCTAAACCCTAAACCCTAAACCCCTAAACCCTAAACGATGCAGATTCAACGATCAAGGATGCTAGGCTTCAGAGCGGCGACTCCTTGACCCTGCACATGAAGCAAGTTCAAGTTCAAGGCTCCAGACAGGCATTTGCGGCCCTTCTTGGTGATGGTTCGGTCGTGGTTTGGGGGGATAATGCCTACGGTGGTGACAGTAGTTTGGTGCAGGGTCAGCTGCAAAATGTGCAGCAGATTCATGCTTCGCATTCTCTGCTTTTGCTGCAGTTCTTGGCGATGGATCAGTTGTTACCTGGGGTGATGCGCTCCGTGGTGGTGACAGCAGTGCTGTGCAGGACCAGCTGAAGAATGTGCAGCAGATCCAAGCCACTCAAGCTGCTTTTGCTGCTATTCTTGGCGATGGATCCGTGGTGACCTGGGGTTCTCCTGCAGATGGCGGTGACAGTAGTGCTGCGCAGGATCAGTTGAAAAATGTGCAGCAGATCCAAGCCGCTGGCGACGCTTTTGCTGCCGTTCTTGGAGATGGATCTGTTGTGATTTGGGGTGCCTTCTTCGACGGCAGTAAAACGCCGGATAAGCTGAAGACTGCGCAGCAGATCAAAGCCACTCACTACGCCTACGCTTATGCTGCCATTCTTGACGATGGATGCGTCGCGACCTGGGGTCGTGCTGACGCCGGTGGTGACAGTAGTTCGGTGCAGGATCAGCTGCAAAGTGTGAAACAGATCTCAGCCTCCCGCAGCTCTTTTGCTGCCATTCTTGGAGATGGATCTGTCGTGACCTGGGGTGATGCGTTGCGTGGTGGTGACAGTAGTGCGGCACAGGATCAGCTGAAGAATGTGCAGCAGATCCAAGCGACTAACGACGCTTTTGCTGCCATTCTGGGCGATGGATCCGTCGTGACGTGGGGCAATCAGTATTGTGGAGGTGACAGCAGTGCGGTGCAGGATCAGCTGAAGAATGTCAAGCAGATCCAAGCCTCTGACAACGCCTTCGCAGCTGCCGTTCTTGGTGATGGATCGGTCGTTACCTGGGGTAATATTAACTATGGTGCTGACAGCAGCGCTGTGCAGGGTGAGCTTCGGAATGTGCAGCAGATCCAAGCCACTGCAGAAGCCTTTGCTGCCATTCTTAGCGATGGATCGGTCGTGGCATGGGGTAATGCTGTCAGCGGTGGGGACAACAGTGCTGTACTGAGAGCTTGAAGATTACTTGAGGAGCTAACATTCTGGCGTTTCTGCCTTCGCAAGTTCATACTACCAGCAGCGCAAATTTTAACTATTGCTTTGCAATTCTGCGGCAGTTTCTTTGTCGCCATCTGGGGACTCACCAAAACTTGCAGTAAAAGCCGTACCTCGGAACTCATCGACCTCGTCAGCCCGTAGCAGGGGGAAGCATCTCATCGCAAGATGTGCACAAGCATCGACTTACCTTTGATTAGTGGGGAATGGTAGTAATAGTATAATAGTATAGTTATATGGCAGTAATATGATAGTAATATGATAGTAATATAGTAGTAATATGTTAGTAGTATGGTAGTGGTGGTGGTTTCCAAGGCCCTGATGAGAGTTCGGCAGCACTCGTAAGAATCTAGAAAGTCCTTAGCCCACGGCCTCAAGAGGTCCGTCGACCGAGTTTTCTTAATTTGTGTTGCGTGGCCGCTGCCGCAGTTTGCAGCAGCCGGAACTTGCAGAGGGGGACGTCAGAGGTAGCAAAGGCCCCATGTTTCTTTCGTACTTGACTATCCAGGGACCTACTGAGTTCTTTGTTGCCACTTGGCGACCTGGTGTGGCAAAGGCCAGTTCTACGTCTAGTAATCTGCGTTTGCGTTTAGGCTTTTGGGGTTTACAGTTTAGTGCATCGGATTTAGAGTCTGGAGCTCTGTTACGCCACTCACGTCCAAACCCTAAGTACTAAGAGCCCCACACCCCTCGACCCAACACCCCTCAACACCACCCAAAACCCCAAAACCCAGATCCCTAAACCCCTAAACCCTAAACCCCTACACCCTAAAAACCCCTAAACGCTTAAACCCCAAGTCCCTAAATACTAGACACCTCAAACCCGTAGCCCGGTAGCCCCGCAGGCCGGAGGAGAGGCTCTCCTTGGAGCAGTGCCTGAAGAGTGCCTGGGTGGGGAGCCCGGTCGCTTCTCCGGAGTCTGGCTCTCGCGGTTTCCGGCTCCTCTACGGGTTCTTCTGAGGATTACTATGCTATTATGAGGGTTATCATGGTGTTTGGGGGGCTTCGCACTTTTGGGTTTCTCTGGCATAGGTCAAAAATCGGGGCGCACGCGCGTGTTGTTGCGCTGAGGTCCTGGACAACAGCCGCAAGGCCCCTCCGTCGCCGCAGCGGCCGATCACGAAGAGCCTGCAAGAGCTGCGCATTCGGCGCCTTGACTACTATAGGGGCCTTAATAATTAGAATAGGGTTTTGGGGTATATTATACTATAGTTATAAAAAGGAACACCCGAGATAGTATAGGTAATTATGAACTAAGGCCCTGTTTTTATAGCCTTGGGGTTGAATACGGGAAGAGCAATGATGACCACAGTAGGACTAGGGGTTGGGGTGTAGGTCTACGGGGTTGGAGTCGGGGAGGGAGCATCAGCAGTAATGTAGGGCCTTAATGATTAGAGTAGGATCTTGGTGCCCATTATTTTCATTTTAACAAGGAGCCCCCCCAAAATAGTATTTGCAATCATTCAGGCCCCGATTTTGGCAATATTATCAGTCGTAGCACTGGTGCGATGCCCACTGAATCGCTGCCCGTCAGGCTTCCGCAGCCACCCAAGAACGTCTCGAAGTTCAAGACCGAGTTGGACAGCTTCTCACTGAAGCCCGGCACCCAGCTATACGTAAGGGTGCCCCAACATTCTTTCGGCCACCTCCGGAATCCTAAACTCCTAAAATGTCAATGTATCCTGGGCCCAACACCAGACCACCGGGAGGATCAAGCAGCTAGAAAGTCGATCCCTTAATGGGGGTTCTTATAAAGTATCCTTTAGTCGAGCCGACCAGTTCTGCAGCCTCAGGCAGGCAGTTTCACTTGCAGTTTAGGGTTCGAGGTTGACGGTTTGGGAGTTTAGGGTTTATGGCTCAGGGTTTAGGGTTTGAGGTTTAGGGTTTGGGGAGTTTAGGTTTAGAGTTTAAAGTTCTTGCTTTAGGGCGTAGGACTCAAGGTTAAGGGCCGGCTCCTCTGTTGCATGCCCAAGCGTCCGAACCCTGAACCTCAGCACATCGTCTCAGACCTCCTTCTATAATTTTCCTAAACTCTCCAAGCCCTCAACACCCTAGACCCTACAAATCCTAAGGCCTACAAGCCTTTAGACCGCAACACCTACAAACCCGGCTAAACCGTACTCCGTGGCGGTTCGGGCGCATCACCAAGGCTCTGCACTGATCCGGATGTCCTTCATGCCTTCATGTACCATACGTACCAGCCTGAACAATGATCATCCCCGAAACACTGCATCCAACTGGTTCCGCACCTGGCCTGAAATTACATTCTTTGGCTCTCTCTGGCTCTGGCTCTGGCTCTGGCTCTGGCTCTGGCTCTGGCTCTGGCTCTGGCTCTGGCTCTGGCTCTGGCTCTGGCTCTGGCTCTGGCTCTGGCTCTGGCTCTGGCTCTGGCTCTGGCTCTGTCTCTGTCTCTGTCTCTCTCTGTCTCTCTCTCTCGCTCTCTCTCTCTCTCTCTCTCTCTCTCTCTCTCTCTCTCTCTCTCTCTCTCTCTCTCTCTCTCTCTCTCTCTCTCTCTCTCTCTCTCTCTCTCTCACAGATACACACGCACAGGCATGACACCATGATCCTATGCATCATCTGTCAGACATAGTCTCTCATGTCCTTTTAGAGTTTCAGAAGACAGGGGACGCTCATATACAGCCCTGACAAGCTAAAATAAAACGCCCAATTTGTCTGAAAGCCCCATGTGGGAGTTTCCGAAAATAGGGGACTCCAGTATAGTACCCTAAATAGTAGGATCCTTATTATAAGGGCTCCAAAATAAGGCACCACTAATTTTAGGAAACTCCCATGTCTCACCAAGGCACAAGGTTTCAGCATCTCTTCAAATTCTGGAGGCGCTGTGGCTGTACCTGCCAGACAGGCTTGAGAAAAGGAGTTCAGGTTTTAGACTTCAGGGTTTTGCAAGAGAGCCTAAAGGTTCCAAAATGGGTTTCTATAAGGTTGTGGGATCCTTATAATACGGACCCCAAAATAAGGAACCCCTAATTTTCGGAAACTATACAACCCTAGACCCTAAACCCTTTATAGAACGCCTATAGATCCCACCCCGGCCACGAACCACGCCTTCTCTAGCGAGGCCCTGAAGCGTAAGCTCCAGGCCCCCATTCCCACACCTTCGACTTGACAGGGCTGGGTGTGAATGCTAAACTTCAAGGCGGGTTTAGGGTTCAGGGCTTAGGGTTTAGGGCATTAGGGCCTTAAGGCTTTAGCTAATTCCTCCGTCAAACTTCCAACCTAAGCCGCAAGCCCCTACTTTTTCCCAACCTTGAGTGCTCAGCCTAAAACGCCTTGAGCCACAGAGTTCCTCACGCGACGTGCTCAATTCGGAACACCTCATTCTACCGGTCTCAGGTTAGTATAGGGTTTTGAAGGTCCTTACATGGCGACGAGTAGGGTACTGTAATTCCGCAACTTCAAGCTGCAGCCCCTAGGACCCCGAAGCCATCTACCACCCCACTGCAGGTTGTTGTGGCCTTCTGTGCCGAAGAGCCGGACAGCCCCCTGGATGCTGTCTGGCCCGACTCTCAGATCGCGGGTCCCGACGCAGCAGTTTCGTGTTTGCCCTTTAAGGGTTCCTTTGAAACGGTTCTAAGAGGGTCCCTTTTTGAGGGTTCCAGGGTTACTATAAGGATTCCTTTGAAAGGGCTTACAACACGGCTGACTAACACGGCTGTTGTGTAGGGTGACAGATGACGGGCCGAGAGCTGCGTTCTGTATTTTGTACTGAAGCGAATTATGCCACTGCCGAGTCCAGTTAGGAAGCCCCAAAACCCAAACGCCAACCCGTAAACCCCAAGCCCTACACCCAAAGCCCAAGACCGCCAATTCCAAACCCCAAGCCCCAAACCCTAGACCCTAAACCCCAAACCCTAAGCCCTGAACCCTGAACCCCACACCCAAACCCTGAACGCCTGCGCTCCAAGCCCCAAACTGGAGGTATAGGTCCTAAACCCTAAACCCTAAATACCTTAAATACCCTAAATACCCCAAATACCCTAAATACCCCAAATACCCTAAATACCCCAAATACCCTAAATACCCTAAATACCCCAAATACTGTAAATACCCTAAATACCCGAAACCCTAAACCACTTGGAAACTTCAGGTCCGAGCTCTGGGATCTGCTGCGACAAAGCTGCCCGGAGCTGCGCTTCGCCCGGAACGCGAGCGCTTTGGGGTGATCGCTGCTAAGGGCTATAGGACAGGGTTTAGGGTTTAGGGTTCAGGATCTTGTGGAGTTATAGGGTTTAGGGTTTAGGATCTTGTGGAGTTAGAGAGGGTTTAAGGGTTTAGGTTTCTGGAGTTTAGGGGGGTTTAGTTGGGTTTCGGGTTCAGGGTTTAAGGTTTAGGGGTTGAGGGTTAGAGGACGTTAGAGGTCCGGTTTCAGGGTTAAGGGTCTAAGAGTTTTGGGGTTTTTGGTTCAGAGGTTCTGGATTATATTGTGTAGTGTGTACTGTATGGTTTCAGGGTGGAGGGTTTATTGGGTTGTCGGGCCTTTTGGCTTCGTTACTGGCTTGGTCCTAGCATATCTAAGGCGCAGTCTTATAGGGTTCTTCGTCATCAGAATAGGGTTTGGGGGACGAAAAAATGCAACTGGAAGGCGCCCCAAGATAGTATCGGCAATTATTTAGGCCCTTAGGCTATCCGCCTGCCAGAAGAGTTTTCGGGGCAAGCCAAATAGAGAGCTGCTTCTATCGCCAAATTCAGAGCTTGGGCTCACAACTTCTATCTATCTTTAATCTGAAACCCTAAACCCTAAACCCTAAACCTGTAGTGAGTTAGACATTGCGAAAATTACCCTCAACCTCAGCTCTTAAGGAAGTGGTCGCGGTCGCTTTTCCCGGAGTGCAAGTCGTGGTCCCTCGATGGCCCAGCCGATCCCATGCTGGAGGAGGACCTGTGCCGTTGCTCCAACAATGGGCAAACTGCATATGAGTGGTTGTCCAAAGTAAGCTCCCCTTTCGGGTCCTTAATATAATACGGCACCTATTATCTAGGGTACCCCAAAAGGGACCATCATGTTGACAACCAACCATATGCATATACATTAAACAAATGAATGAATAAATATAAAAATATGTATATATGTGTATGCAGTAGGCTTTAGGGTCGTAGCACCAGCAGTCTTAAGAGCAACAAGGACAAGAATATATTTTAGTAGCTCTCATGATAGTGATGCCAATAGCAACATCCACACAAAGAGTCATTGTCATGATAACAGTTACAACCAGCAAAGCAAACGGATGTGTGAGTTGCTTCAGCTACTTCAGCCGAGCTTCTGTTGCTCAAGGCAGGCACATTGAAATTCAGTACTTCACGAAAGCTGCCGCGGGCATCCTGAAATCAACACTCTTACTACTAGTATTATCGTACTGCTGTTTTCAAGGGTTGTTGTTCTAGTACTCGAGTATGGTAGTCTGATCGCTTTAGTATTGCCGCATTATGGCATAATCACCCAGGGCTCCCAGCTAGAAGTCTTCTAGAGACCCAGATGGGTGGTTGTCAATATTATGGTACCTTTTTGGGCCCTTATTGTAATACGGCACCGAATATATAGGGTACCCAAAAAGGAACCCTAATTTTGACAACCCCCGAGATAGAGACCCTTAATTACTGGAAGTCATTTTTAGAGTAGCTTCTCCTTGTCTCGCTTTTTGTGGCAGACCAGGAGCAGGAAGCCCTTGAGGCCATCTACGCTGCAGACTTTGAGGCAGCGCTGGTTTCTGGCTTTAGAGCTTGAGAGTTCAAGGGTTTAGGGTTCAGGGTGTGAGGGTTTTTGGGGGTTTGGGGTCCGGCGGTCTCGGAGTTAGGATGTGAAGGTTGTGGGGGTGTAATTAGGCGGAGGGCTTTCAACTGTTGGGTCTGCATGAAGGTCCGCAACCATGAGGCATGCTCCCTGCACCAGAATGGGCGCTGACAAACGACGGTCCTGATGGTGATGACGATGAAGAAGAAGATGATGACGTCATATGACGACGCTATCGGCACTGAGGGTATGATGCTGACTCTGATCATGAAGGTGACTGTTGGTATGGAGCAGAACAATAACATGCACCTGTTATGCTGGTATTTCCATAAAGTCTTGGGTTTTGCTGTTGGAGATCGGCTTTCGGCACAACCCCGTGTATGTCATGGCCGTTTGAAGCAGTTTCTGTGGAAGCCTCGTCACTGTTGGTCGTTTAAGTGCCAGCTGCACATCGCGCCCACGTCGCAGACATGCTGTTGGTATCCATCTGCGGGCCTTAGGGTTTGGCGGCTAACTTATGGCATCAAACTGCTACTTCGGTGTTACTTACTCTCGTAAGCTCTCCGCTCCCTGTCTTGCGGGCTCAGCCATGCTCAGTCGTACGGTACGCACATGGAATCCTGAACCCGCAGCTTTAATTTAAATCTAGACACCGGAAGCCCCAAGCCCCAAAGCCCTAAACCCGAACACCCTGCTATAGGGGCCTCAATAATTAGAATCAGTTTTTGGGTCCAAAATAGTATTGGAAATGATTCAGGCCCCTACAGTAGCCAGGTGCTCAACAGCTGCTCCTGGTCAATCCATGTTGGCTGTGGCACGGCGCTGCGCGTGGAGCTGCCTGCAGGGTATCCTGCGTCGCGCCCACCCTGCGCGCCTGGTCTCAATTACTACTTAGCGGTTCATGACTCTTAGTAACTACGGTTGTAATTAAGGAAACTATACTTATAACTGTAGTTGCTGAGTCCCATGAACCTCCAAGTACTTGCATGCTCTTACAGCTTTCGTTTGGATTGTACTAGAAGTGGGTCAGCATTCAACGGTCGGTGCGGGCTTTTGTCTCTCATTTTACGCGCAAACGGGTGGGTGATCCCTGGCTGATCGCATGCTTCGAGGTGCATACCCCCCCTTCAAATTGGACTGATTTGGATTGCGCGAACCAAAGCCTATGCACTCCGACTTCCAAGCTGTTACGAGCCTGAGGTCTGGGTGGAGTGTCCGCATGGAACAGCACCTCCCGACATCCAAGCCAGCTTGGAAGCCTGCGACGTGTCAAAATTGGATAACTTGGAGCCGGGGTTTCGAGGTGCTAGAGCCCAAGGAACAACGTTGAATATTGTGCTGCAGAGCTCCTTTTAAGCTTTCGGACTTTGCATCACGGCCACACCGAAATTGCTAAAGCTGCGGCTTTTGTTGGGCTGGGATAGTTCTCCAGCAGGCATTCATTCCGACGCCTTGTAAGGCCAAGGCATTGGGTATGGAAGGCTTGTGTCAAGAAATCTGAGTATTCATTCTCATCTTTCCTTCATCATCATCTTCAATTCAGTGAATGTAGCCCGGGCTGTCTTCTGAATTAGAGCGCTTTGAAGAGTTCAACATTTCTGAGGGCAACTTTCAAAGACCACGGGCACCTAAGTCTCGAACCACTCCCCAACCTAATCCAGCCAAATCTCAGCAACGCCAGAATGACTGCAGCAACTTGGCCAAAGGCTGCGTAAATCCCACCCTCTGAACCCTAACCCCGAGTTTCCATAAACACGCAGTCTTCGCCGAGCGGTTATGTCCTCGATGGCGGCGCCCGGCGCGGGGTACTTACTGGTCGTGAACTAAATCCTCCAAACTCTGGAACTTTTCGGACCCTAAACTCCTAAACCAAACATCCTCACAGTGTGACCTTTATGGTAGCCTTCCCTCATAGACTCATAGACGCCTTAGAGTACCAAACCCTTGAACCCTAAACCCTAATTCCCTAAACGCTAAGCCCTAAACCCGAAAAAAAGCACCCAATTCCCAAGGTCCCTAAACCCCCGTCAAAGTCGCTCCTCGAGGCTGGACCGGATCCGAGTGTGTCTACGACATGGCCGAGTGCCTGCGAGCGGCGGTGCACGCCGCGGAGACCGGGGAGAAACCAGGCAGAGCTTACCTCAATAAGGGATCTATTAGGATACTATAAGGGATCTATAAGGGTACTATAAGGGATCTATAAGGGTACTATAATATAGGGGGCTGAATATTCCTATAACTTACCTTTGGTTAGTGGGGAATGGAGGAATGGGGTACAATTATTACTACTATTACTACCATTCTTCCATTCCCTACTAACCAAAGGTGAGAGAGTGGGATCTTTGTGTTTTTGAGGGTTTAGGGTTTAGGGGCGGTTGGTTCTGGCTGCGCCTGTCTGATCATTGCTATTGTGAGTTTGGTGGTTTGCATGGCTAATTGCGATGATGATGATGCCCGCGTTGGTGATCAGGACAATGTGGTAGACACTGGTAAGGACAGTGATGAGGTTCGTCTAGTGCATAGCCAAGTGGTGTTGCTGACCCTTCTCAATGTTTGAATGCCACCAAGTCTACGTATCCTACACCGTCTGATGTAGCCGTTGGTGCTTTCATCCTAAAGAAAACCTTTTCCCCCACTACAGAAAACACTAATCCCGGCGCAAAGAAAGCCCTAAACCGGAATCCCTGTTTCCCCCATCCCTGCCCCCAACACAAGCAACCACCATGTGAATACCCCATGTCCTTCGCCCAAGACCCAAGAAGCCTTACTCCCCAAGCTCTAAACCCTAAAATCCTAAAGTCCGTCTGATGTTCGAGCATGTGGCTGATAGAACCCCTGCTTCTCCAGGCCTTCAAAGCGTGAGCAAAGCGGCAGACCCAGATGTGGCCCAAGCCTTAACATCCCGCAGAATTTGAAACGGCTTCTCAAACTAGAGGTACCATAGGGGCCTTAACAATCAGAACAGGGTTTTGGGGCCCATTATACTCGACTTATAGTAAAGAGGTCCCTCTATCCCTACATTACGTATTCAGGGGTCATTACGATTGGGATCCTGCTTCGATCAGTAGGGTAGGTGATTCTCTGAAACACCCCCCGTAGTAAGATGTACCCAGGTTCAGACTTCGGGTTCGGGGTTTCAGGTTTGACGCATTTGGGTTTCGGGCTTGGGCTTAGGGGGCACATTCCTTCCGAAGCACCTGCAAGCTCTGGCCTTGTGGGCTTTGGGAAGGATCTTCGGGTGTGAATTGGGGCCCTGGCATGCTGCCATGTAGTATGACATCGTATGTTCGTATTGCCACGCAGCATCGTGATGAGTACTATTTTGTGTGTTGGTGCTTGTGTCTCCGTGCATCCGCTGACAGAACGACATGTACATGAATTGCATACCCATATGCATATGTGTATGTGCGTATGTATGTATGTATGTACGTAGGTAGGTACGCAGGGAGGCATGCATGAATATCTGCATGCATGTATGTATACCTAAACAAGATACGGTATGCAAATACGTGCCTGTACACATGTTTATACTTTTGTGATGATGGACGTCTATGCATGTATTTATGTAAGGATGGACGCGGATCGATGGATGGATCACTTGTATGTGTACGCACAGACACATAGGTACATAACGCATATCTGTGTGCGTAAATACTTTTGAATGTATATGCATATATTATATATGTCTGTTTGTATGTACACATATAGGTATATGCATGCTTGTACATACCTGCATGCCTCGGTACATACATACATACATACATACATGCATGCAGACAGACAGACAGACAGACAGACAGACACACATACTTACATACATGCATACAACACATATCTTGTCTTATGGCAAAGTACGCAGACATGTAGAGAGATGCGACTGGTCACATGCGCATGAGCGGCTTCCTGCATATCTTGATTTTGGCTAAAGTATATACACATTGACACCATATACATGGGCGAAAGGGGATTCTGGTACGTAATCCTGAGATGTAACGAACTGGAGCCCGACGAAGAGCTCTTCTGGTAACCCTATCAAGAAACTATGGGTTATACGGTATACGATAGTTATCTTGAGGAGCCCTAAGGAATGCGATTCTAGTTGTGAAGCTGAGGCTCCAGTGCAAGCTCAATCGAAGCTCTCCATTGTGCACGGTGAGATCTTGATCGACAGGACTCCGGGAACTTTGTGTGTTCTGCGAGTAGGAGATTTCTATGTAAGGGTGCCTCAAAGGCTCACAAAACCATTCTGAGGGTTACTGGTACCTTAGAAGGGTCGCAGAATCTCCTATGCTCTGCTCAGGAAGTCGTCGTTCCAGGCCCACATGGCTCACGTGTCGAGCATCCAGGAGGTCGCCTCTTTCCTGACTTTAACTTGGGATCTCGTTCTAACGCGTGGTAGTCCACAACCTTCATGATTTTGTACGAGCCGAGGAGTCTGTGAGAGATGCCCTGCTGCAAGATCGCAAAATCATGGCGGCTACGCACAACGTGGTGCGCATCTGAGACTGACGCAGACTTGGTCCTGGTAGGCAGCCGGTAGGATCTTCATGTCCGATCCGAGGCAGCCTGGCGATTTCGGTACACAGATCCCGCGATATGGGAGGAAGCTGCCGTGGCATTTTATTGGCCTGCCTCCCTCTCACGCTGTTCATGTTGCGACTGACTGATTGCCTTGCCACCTGTTCCCTGTCATGCATCCGGCTCTGAAATCCCGCTGGTAGCTCCAGTTCTTCGATCCGCCCCCCTAAACCCTAAACCCTTAACCCTAAACCCTACACCCCACAGAGCCAGCAGGATTCCACTGACGACGGTGAAGCGGGAGCCGGGAGACGCTTGCCCTTCGGATGCACGGCATAGGCTAAATAGGGTTTTGGGGCCCGTCATGCTAGGCTTACCATAAGGAACCCCCGAAATAGCGAAGGTAATTATTTTGGCATTTACAGTGCGAACTTGATGCCCAGGCTGGCAGTGCTCAAGAAGCGCGGGGATAAAGACATCGTCGTCATCGTGCCTCGGACTGACTTAGCTTTGCCCTACCGAACTCATTCAGCGATTTGGGCGCAAGGTCCGGGCTATGGGTTCCTGTTTTTATAGGGGCCTTAAGAATTATCTATACTTTTTCGGGGTTCCTCATTACAACTATAGTATAATATACCCCAACATCCTAATTATTCTAATTATTAAGGCCCCTATATCATAAGGACTGAAGAATAAGCCGGTATCCCAAATGCTCGGAGGCCGCCCCCTTATCAATTTCATGGTCAGAGTCTGCATCATGACTGCTAGAACCACCACGTGAACATGCTGCCATGTTCGAAGCCTGGGGATAGTCCTCTCAGCCTTCTCCAAAGCCCAGACCCAAAAAACAAACCCTGAATGGAGCTTAAACCCTAAACCCTGAACTCTAAACCCTAAGCCCCAAGCCCTGATTGGAGTCCCTTAGCCTCTGCTGCTCATGTCGAGTGCCGCAGTGAGAGAGAAAGTTCGTGCCCCGGAGGTCACTCGCTGGAGAGGCCAGAGCTGCTCGCGTCGGGGTTAAAAATTAAGGAATATACCTTAAATCATAGTAGGGATCCTACTATGATTTGAGGACTATTCCTTAATTAAGGGATATTGCAGTCTCCGGGTTAAGTTTCAGGGTTTAGGGCTCAGCGATATGAGAGGGGTAAGGTTTGGGGATCTAGATCCAAGGGTTCCGGGCTTTGGGTTAAGTATGTCAGCTTTGAGGACTTTAGAAACTTTCACTTCGGAGACATCGTCAAGGTACTCTGAGTGCATGTGAAATAAGTCTGTGCTGTACCCTGTAGGGTGATGAACGGCACAGTGTATATACGGACTTGCAGCTTGGAATCCCTAGCATGATTCGAGGGACATGCTTGTTGACGTATATTGGAAGATCGGGGATTTGTTATCAGGTACGAGTCGCTGCTTCCCGTGTTGTTCTTCTGACTATGATCGCGGATACTTAAAGAATCACGGGACTTAGTAAGGGCAACTAGGGTTACAAATAAGACAACCATACTTACAGCTACTTATGACCCCCAATGCAGGTACTTCTAACCTTACTTACTAATGAGCCTCCAAGTACCGAAGCCGTGTTGCGCTGTTCAGTTAGCTTCTCGGAATTGTTGCAAATCTTCATGGTGTGTTTTGTGCATCGAAACGGCATGTCTGAGTTGCAGATCGGATGTATTGCGCTGCAGATTCTCGCGCTTGTGTGTGTGTGTGTGTGTTTGTGTGTTTCCTTTGCAAGTTCTAGTGACGTGTCGTTTTGCCAAAGCTCTCGCGTTTCATGCACACGTGAATATTTCAGGAAAGAGACTGCACCACAAAGTGCAGTCGATCTGCACTTAGACAGACATGCCGGATCGACATGTAGCAACATATCCGCAAAATGATTTATTCTAGGTTGCCCAAGCCGTAAACAGGGGTCTGTTGAATTGTTGAACTATCGATCTCCTTAATAACCATTATAATAACAGACAATTAGTAGTATATGTATTAGCAGTAGTTGATATCACTGCGATGAGCTTTGCGAAGAAATCGGGTGAGCATGCAGTGGTGGTGGTGGTGGTGCCCTGGGTTTTGCGCGAGAAAGACCTCTACGCGATGCCAAAGAGCTCGACTCTTGGGACCCGGCACACAGAACTTCCCAAAACCCTAAACCCTAAGTATCAAAGAGGCTACTGCACATAAAAAAGCCCTAAGTTTTAAAGCCTCGAACCTCTAAACCTGAACTCCAAAAGCTGCGAGGCATCATTCACTTGGGTGTGGACCGGTTCAGGACCAGCCTCTTGAGCAGTGTATTTGGGGATTCAGGATCGGTTGGGGGTTCCGGGTTTTGAACTGAGTCTTTTGTGGATTGGGGTTTGGGGTTTCGGGTCATGGTTTGGGGGTGTAGGGCTTAGGGTCCGTGGTTCAGGGATTGGGGTTCGGAATTTTTGGCATTTTGGGAATTTGCATCGCTGGGGGTAGGGTGTGCTTGGAAGCTGTTCCGGGTGCATACGAAAGGTTCCCAGTTCATTTGTAGCCATGAAGTTCATCTGGCCCAGGTAGACAGGGGGATCGGCACACATAGTACAATATTATGTAGGTCCGCATGAACGTTAAAGTATTGCGAGTGATTCAACACTGTGAGCGTATACTGAAGCACACAGACACCTGATAGTAAGCAATAAAACCAGCAAGGAACAATACCAGTAGTGCACTGCTTAGAGGCTTAGAGGTTCATGGGACTTAGTAACTAAGGTTATACTTAAGGTAACTACACATATAATATATGTACTTATACCTGTACTTACTAAGTCCCATGAACCTCCAAGTGGGGTTATGGGGACGGTCCTCAAGGATGAGCCCCTTCGTGGCCAGGGTTTAGTGTCTATTCGTCTAGAGTCTAGGGTCTTCGGTGTTGCTGCGGATTGTGCTCTCAGACTTTCCGGCCATTCGGGTCAAGCAAGGTATTCGGGTTTAGGGTTGCAGCTGTCGGGTTTCAGGCTTGAGGTTTAGGGTGTAGTGTAGGACGTAGGTCACGAACAATCCACAGGAAACAGGGAGGGCGCAGTAGACACTCATTGCTTTATACGCGTAGCTTGTAACTTTTTCATATCGGTTCCTAAATCCTAGAGCACAGACCTTAAGCTGCAACCTATGCTATTGCGAGGGTCGGTGCCTCAGAGGGAACGGGTTCGGTTGTGGCCGTTACCCTTAATTACGATAACGTTGATTTCCCCGCATGCATGAGGCCCCACCCTCGGATTCCTCTTAGCATTGGAGTTTCCCTCTAAGCAGTTGGAGAAGGGGTGCACAGAAGAATATCCTAGGCTCAGCCTTCTGCCTTCACTCCAACGGACGCCTTTTTGTTGTGATCTGCGTGAGTTCTCGTTTTTGCGATCGCAGATCAGCTTACCTCGAAGAAGTGCTGACGACGTCACTGAATTCTACTTCTACCGACACTTCCCCTGCGTCAACGTGGCGCTGCAGGAACTACTGCAAGGCAGCGGTGCAGCTGCTGGAGAACGAGGATGGAGGACGCCAGGGGAGCAAGAAGAGAGGACAGTGATGCGACCGGTGGCCCCGCCTTGTACATAGGACCCTCTGAGTCACCCTGGAGTGTTGGAGTCAGTCCATCCTTGCAGGACACTCATCCCCGTATCTCCAACAAAACGAATTCCACCCCCTGTTTCTCAACCCTTTGAGCCTCGAGCAATAGTTATGGGGAAGCCTGAATAAGTACTGATTGCGGCCCCCTTGGTTGACGAAGACTCCGAACGCTTCAGCTTGCCGCGTCGCGGCTATCCGTTTCACCGGCAGACTAGTCCCAACTTTGCCGGTTTCGTGCACGGCGTGCCGAAGTCTACCAAACATGGCAGCTGTGTTAAGTGGCACCGTGTGGTAAATAGCATCACCAACGCATCGCCATCCTCATGACCAGTATCCTGAGCAGCGTCATCACCACCATCGTCATCAATCGTCAGTACAGTAGCCCTATCAGCTTCAGTATCCGTAGCCGGTGTCAGCATCATCATCGCCATCACCATCGTCATTATCATCATCATCATCATCATCATCCTTGTCGTCGTCGTCATCATCATCATCAGCACCAGCATCACCAGCATCACCAACATCGCCAGCATCACCACCATCACCACCATGGCATCACCACCATCACCACAATCACCACCATCACCACCACGGCATCAACACCATCACCATCACCATCACCATCACCATCATCATCATCATCATCATCATCATCATCATCGCTATCATCATCATCATCATCATCATCATCATCATCGCCGCCACCACAATCACTGCACTTTCTCCGCCTCCAACTGCTGCCGCTTCCGACCCTCTCTGACTGCTCCTTAAGGGGAAAGGGTAAAGTAATAGTGACGGTAGTACAGAAGAGGTCGTCGTCGTCGTCGTCGTCGTCGTCGTCGTCTCGTTAGTAGCAATCAGGGGGCAGAACAGTGTCGATAATGATTACATCGATTCCAGTTCAAGCCTTTTAAGCTTGTAAACGTGTACACGCTGCATACGAGCTCAGAAGCAAGAGATCGTGGGCCTGGACATTGTGCTTCTGTTTTAAGATGATCGCCTTGAGCGTTGCAGGAGCCCTGCCCACTAAATCTTTGCAACAAAGATGGACAAAGGGCTACCCTAAACCCTAAACCCTTACCGGAACAAATAAACTTAAACTCTGCCAAGTACCAGAACCTCAAGCCTGGAAACCTTGCGCCTGGGCCCTGGACCCTACATCCTAAGTGCCCAAACCTCGAGGATCTGAATCCTGCATCGCCGCACTCCCGAATCCCAAAGCTTGAGAAGAAGAATGATAATTAGTCATAATAGCAATCATACTAACTAAAAATAAAAAAATACTAATACTAACAGTAATCATAAAAATAATAACAACTATAGTACCAGCCATCCAGAGGCCGCTGGACCATCAGTGTGTGTCCGCGGCTGAGCTGTCAGGGTTTGGTATTGGGCTTGGGGTTCTCTCTCCTTATAGGATCATGGGACTTAGTACCTAAGGTTACTAATAGGGCGACTATACTTATAGCTACTTACCCCTTGAGGTTTCGGCTCGAGGGCTCGCGCTTCGGGGCCCAGGGTGAGGTGACAGTTGAGTCTCGATGTCCGGTGGCAGCACTAGAAATGAGGAAGGGCTCTAGGTTCGAAGACCCGGAACCCCACTTAAACGGGACCTTATTGAAAGGGTCTATAATCCCAAGATAACCCCAAGGCTTAATTTTCCCACAAATCCTAGTCCTAGCTCTTATGATGCGGCATTAACATGGGAGTTGGACTTGAGGGGCTTCAAGTCTCCAACTACCATAATCTAGGGATTTGGGAGTTTGCGAAATAAGGGGACCCTGATATAGTAACATACTATAGGATCCTTATTATAAGGGGCCCAAAATATGGGCCTGTGTGTAGTGACCAATATTGCTTCCTTATCAGGATTGGAATTATATTATAGCTTATCCCGAGAACCTATACTAAATGTTCAGGCCCCACTTGCCAGTCTTGGTCGGCACGAACTGCCAGTACCTGAAGTTTGCGATGCCAGGGTTCAGCACTCTGAGTATCAGCACTGACATAGTCATCATGACCATGGTTGTGAGTATCATTGTTGTCGTTGCCGTTGCTATGCTTCTTGTAGCTGTACTGCTGTCACAACCACTTGTTTGCTCCTGCTACTGCTGCTGCTGTTGCTACTGCCTCCAGCAACCGCTTGACTGGTTGTGGGCTTCGGCCTGAGCTGTGACAGGCAAAGGGTACATTGTGCCATTTTGCCGCCCAAGCCGCGAAGCTGCAAAGCTGTTCGAGTTTCAGAGTCTTGCATTGCTGCCAGCCCCACGGCCTTTTGCAGCCATGCCGCCGCGCGAGAAGGACGTGTACTTTGCCGCTCGGCTGTGAAGCAGCCAGCCTCCGCTTGAGCCTTGAGGGCTGTGCTGACTTGCGGTGTCTGACGGCTGACGAGCAGTGTTTTGAGGCCAAGCTTGCCGAGCAGGCAGAGCGCTACGACGAGATGGCCGATCACATGAAGAATGTGGGCAATGCAGACAGCGAGCTTTCCGTCGAGGAGCGCAACTTGCTGTCTGTGGCCTACAAGAACACTGTGGGCTCTCGCCGTGCTGCATGGCGCATCATCACGAGCGTCATGCAGAAGCTGGGGTGGCAGTGAAGGATAGTGAAGGTTTGAGTTAGTACAGACGTTGTCACCCCCCCTCTTACTGCAGGTTGGCCTTTTCGGTGAACTGGTGTGTCGGGTAGACTGATCAAGCAAGGAAGGAGACGACCAAGGGAAACACGGAGAACGCCGCCTATGCAAAGGAGTACTGCAAGAAGGTAGGAATCTGAGACAGACAGGTCCGTATTGCGATAGTGTGTGCGGAGCGTTGAAGTCTCTGTGCCTGTGGGGTTCAACGAGGTTGAGGACGAGTTGCAGTCTATCTGCGACACGATCCTCGCACTTCTGGACGGCAAGCTGATCGCAAAGGCCAGCAGCGGTGAGTCCAAGGTATTCTACCAGAAGATGAAGGCTGACTACTACCGCCACCCAGTTGCATCGTGTTGTTTGGGTTTGCTTGACCAACTGTTTGGTTTGGAGCACGCAAACAGCACTGTGGTACGGAATGAGGCTACATCGCAGAGTTCCGTGATGGTGATGCCAAGAGCAGTGCAGCTGAGAAGGCCCGCCAGGCCTACCAAGAGGCGCAGGATGCGTTCCAAATGTGACAAGCTTAGATACACCGTCGCAAAACGGACACTATACAGACCCTTAAAACTCCACAAGTACTAGAGTTAATCGGGCCAAAGTCACTTGTCGTTGACGGCAGGCAGAGGACGTTGCCAAAAAGGATCTGGCCGTGACGCATCCCATCCGCCTTGGCCTGGCCTTGAACTATTCGGTGTTCATGTACGAGGTGTTGGGCAATCCCGATGATGCCTGCAAGATGGCGCGCACAGCTTTCGAGGATGCCATTGCCGAGCTGGACAACGTGGCAGAGGACTCTTACAAGGACTCGACCCTGATCATGCAGCTGCTGCGGGACAACCTGACGCTGTGGACTTCCGACCAGGAGGGAGGACAGGCCTAAGCAGCCCTTGTTTCCAATTCGCTTCACGGGAGACTGCCCTAGTATCCACGGTACTCCGGTCCGTGGCTGAGGTAGTTGCGTGATGAGCTGATGAAAAACAGAGTGACCCTGAAAGGAAGGTTGTAGAAAGTGGTGATGTATCGGCAAGGAAAGGCTGACCCTTGTAACGCGCGTGTGTTGCTGCCAGGCTTTGCATGTCTTCTCCGCCATATCTTGCAGTGCTGGCAAGGTCTGCCAGTGTTTGCAGCTTAAGTTGCGAGCGTTGTGCAGGGTGCGATCTGCAATTTTCCGCCCAAGCCGCGAAGCTGCAAAGCTTTTCGAGTTTCAGAGTCTTGCATTGCTGCCAGCCCCACGGCCTTTTGCAGCCATGCCGCCGCGTGAGAAGGACGTGTACTTTGCCACTCGGCTGTGAAGCAGCCAGCCTCCGCTTGAGCCTTGTGGGCTGTGCTGGCTTGTCGTGTCCGACTAGCAGTGTTCTGAGGCCAAGCTTGCCGAGCAGGCAGAGCGCTACGACGAGATGGCCGATCACATGAAGAATGTGGGCAACGCAGACAGCGAGCTTTCCGTGGAGGAGCGCAACTTGCTGTCTGTGGCCTACAAGAACACTGTGGGCTCTCGTCGCGCTGCATGGCGCATCATCACGAGCGTCATGCAGAAGCTGGGGTGGCACGTGCGGATGTTGTCACACTCTTATTGCAGATTAGTTTTTTCTGTGACCTGGTGGGTCGGGTAGACTGATCAAGCAAGGAAGGAGACGACCAAGGGCAACACGGAGAACGCCGCCTATGCAAAGGAGTACTGCAAGAAGGTGGGAATCTGAGGCAGACATGTCCGTGCTTTGATGGTCTTGCTTTTGTTCTGGTCGGTGACAACCAAGATGACGTTTTTGTTTTGTGACACTGTTGTCGGAGAGTCGTCGAGCAAAAATCTGAGACCTTCCGTTGTAGAGCATTGCAGTCCCTGTGCCTGTGGGGTTCAACGAGGTTGAGGACGAGTTGCAGTCTATCTGCGACACGATCCTCGCACTTCTGGACGGCAAGCTGATCGCAAAGGCCAGCAGCGGTGAGTCCAAGGTGTTCTACCAGAAGATGAAGGCTGACTACTACCGCCACCCAGTTGCATCGTGTTGTTTGGGTTTGCTTGATCAACTGTTTGGTTTGGAGCACGCAAACAGCACTGTGGTACGGAATGAGGCTACATCGCAGAGTTCCGCGATGGTGATGCCAAGAGCAGTGCAGCTGAGAAGGCCCGCCAGGCCTACCAAGAGGCGCAGGATGCGTTCCAAATGTGACAAGCTTAGATACACCGTCGCCAAGCGGACACTATACAGACCCTTAAAACTCCACAAGTACTAGAGTTAATCGGGCCAAAGTCACTTGTCGTTGACGGCAGGCAGAGGACGTTGCCAAGAAGGATCTGGCCGTGACGCATCCCATCCGCCTTGGCCTGGCCTTGAACTATTCGGTGTTCATGTACGAGGTGTTGGGCAATCCCGATGATGCCTGCAAGATGGCGCGCACCGCTTTCGAGGATGCCATTGCCGAGCTGGACAACGTGGCAGAGGACTCTTACAAGGACTCGACCCTGATCATGCAGCTGCTGCGGGACAACCTGACGCTGTGGACTTCCGACCAGGAGGGAGGACAGGCCTAAGCAGCCCTTGTTTCCAATTCGCTTCACGGGAGACTGCCCTAGTATCCACGGTACTCCGGTCCGTGGCTGAGGTAGTTGCGTGATGAGCTGATGAAAAACAGAGTGACCCTGAAAGGAAGGTTGTAGAAAGTGGTGATGTATCGGCAAGGAAAGGCTGACCCTTGTAACGCGCGTGTGTTGCTGCCAGGCTTTGCATGTCTTCTCCGCCATATCTTGCAGTGCTGGCAAGGTCTGCCAGTGTTTGCAGCTTAAGTTGCGAGCGTTGTGCAGGGTGCGATCTGCAATTTTGCCGCCCAAGCCGCGAAGCTGCAAAGCTTTTCGAGTTTCAGAGTCTTGCATTGCTGCCAGCCCCACGGCCTTTTGCAGCCATGCCGCCGCGTGAGAAGGACGTGTACTTTGCCACTCGGCTGTGAAGCAGCCAGCCTCCGCTTGAGCCTTGTGGGCTGTGCTGACTCGCGGTGTCTGACGGCTGACGAGCAGTGTTCTGAGGCCAAGCTTGCCGAGCAGGCAGAGCGCTACGACGAGATGGCCGATCACATGAAGAATGTGGGCAATGCAGACAGCGAGCTTTCCGTGGAGGAGCGCAACTTGCTGTCTGTGGCCTACAAGAACACTGTGGGCTCTCGTCGCGCTGCATGGCGCATCATCACGAGCGTCATGCAGAAGCTGGGGTGGCACGTGCGGATGTTGTCACACTCTTATTGCAGATTAGTTTTTTCTGTGACCTGGTGGGTCGGGTAGACTGATCAAGCAAGGAAGGAGACGACCAAGGGCAACACGGAGAACGCCGCCTATGCAAAGGAGTACTGCAAGAAGGTGGGAATCTGAGGCAGACATGTCCGTGCTTTGATGGTCTTGCTTGTGTTCTGGTCGGTGACAACCAAGATGACGTTTTTGTTTTGTGACACTGTTGTCGGAGAGTCGTCGAGCAAAAATCTGAGACCTTCCGTTGTAGAGCATTGCAGTCCCTGTGCCTGTGGGGTTCAACGAGGTTGAGGACGAGTTGCAGTCTATCTGCGACACGATCCTCGCACTTCTGGACGGCAAGCTGATCGCAAAGGCCAGCAGCGGTGAGTCCAAGGTGTTCTACCAGAAGATGAAGGCTGACTACTACCGCCACCCAGTTGCATCGTGTTGTTTGGGTTTGCTTGATCAACTGTTTGGTTTGGAGCACGCAAACAGCACTGTGGTACGGAATGAGGCTACATCGCAGAGTTCCGTGATGGTGATGCCAAGAGCAGTGCAGCTGAGAAGGCCCGCCAGGCCTACCAAGAGGCGCAGGATGCGTTCCAAATGTGACAAGCTTAGATACACCGTCGCCAAACGGACACTATACAGACCCTTAAAACTCCACAAGTACTAGAGTTAATCGGGCCAAAGCCACTTGTCGTTGACGGCAGGCAGAGGACGTTGCCAAGAAGGATCTGGCCGTGACGCATCCCATCCGCCTTGGCCTGGCCTTGAACTATTCGGTGTTCATGTACGAGGTGTTGGGCAATCCCGATGATGCCTGCAAGATGGCGCGCACCGCTTTCGAGGATGCCATTGCCGAGCTGGACAACGTGGCAGAGGACTCTTACAAGGACTCGACCCTGATCATGCAGCTGCTGCGGGACAACCTGACGCTGTGGACTTCCGACCAGGAGGGAGGACAGGCCTAAGCGCCAGTTGGACACACAAGAGACCACCAGAGGATCCGCGGGGCTTCTGTCCCGTGGCTCGGGTGACTGCAAGTTCCGAAGACGAAAACAGCCTTCACTTTGTTGCCGACTTGCTGCAGTCTAGCTCCTAGCCGTGCTGGCAACGTGCTGGCCTTAAGTTGCAAGCGTTGTGCACGGTGAGCGTACCGTTTCGCTGCCCAAGCCGCGAAGCTGCAAAGCTTTTCAAGTTTCAGAGTCTTGCATTGCTGCCAGCCCCACGGCCTTTTGCAGCCATGCCGCCGCGTGAGAAGGACGTGTACTTTGCCACTCGGCTGTGAAGCAGCCAGCCTCCGCTTGAGCCTTGTGGGCTGTGCTGACTTGCGGTGTCTGACGGCTGACGAGCAGTGTTCTGAGGCCAAGCTTGCCGAGCAGGCAGAGCGCTACGACGAGATGGCCGATCACATGAAGAATGTGGGCAATGCAGACAGCGAGCTTTCCGTGGAGGAGCGCAACTTGCTGTCTGTGGCCTACAAGAACACTGTGGGCTCTCGCCGTGCTGCGTGGCGCATCATCACGAGCGTCATGCAGAAGCTGGGGTGGCAGAATGAAGGATAGTGAAGGTTTGAGTTAGTACAGACGTTGTCACCCTCTTACTGTAGGTTGGCCTTTTCGGTGATCTGGTGTGTCGGGTAGACTGATCAAGCAAGGAAGGAGACGACCAAGGGCAACACGGAGAATGCCGCCTATGCAAAGGAGTACTGCAAGAAGGTGGGAAGCTGAAACTGACACGCCCGTGTTGCAATAGTGTTGCTGTGCAGAGCGTTGAAGTCTCTGCGACTGTGGGGCGAGGTTGAGGACGAGTTGCAGTCTATCTGCGACACGATCCTCGCACTTCTGGACGGCAAGCTGATCGCAAAGGCCAGCAGCGGTGAGTCCAAGGTATTCTACCAGAAGATGAAGGCTGACTACTACCGCCATCCAGTTGCATCGTTTTTAGAATTGTTCTTGTTCATGTGTTTGGAGCATGCAAACAACCTGGAACACGGAATGAGGCTACATCGCAGAGTTCCGTGATGGTGATGCCAAGAGCAGTGCAGCTGAGAAGGCCCGCCAGGCCTACCAAGAGGCGCAGGATGCGTTCCAAATGTGGCAAGCTTAGATACGCCGTCGCCAAACTGACGCCTTACAGATCCTAAAGCCCCGCAAGTACCAGAGTTAATCGGGCCAAAGTCACTTGTCGTTGACGGCAGGCAGAGGACGTTGCCAAGAAAGATCTGGCCGTGACGCATCCCATCCGCCTTGGCCTGGCCTTGAACTACTCGGTGTTCATGTACGAGGTGTTGGGCAATCCCGACGATGCCTGCAAGATGGCGCGCACCGCTTTCGAGGATGCCATTGCCGAGCTGGACAACGTGGCAGAGGACTCTTACAAGGACTCGACCCTGATCATGCAGCTTCTGAGGGACAACCTGACGCTGTGGACCTCCGACCAGGAGGGAGGACAGGCCTAAGCGCCAGTTGGACACACAAGAGACCACCAGAGGATCCGCGGGGCTTCTGTCCCGTGGCTCGGGTGACTGCAAGTTCCGAAGACGAAAACAGCCTTCACTTTGTTGCCGACTTGCTGCAGTCTAGCAGACTCCTAGCCGTGCTGGCGGAGTGCTGGCAATGTCTGCCGGTGTAGCTTAAGTTGCAAGCGTTGTGCACGGTGAACACACCGTTTCGCTGCCCAAGCCGCGAAGCTGCAAAGCTTTTCAAGTTTCAGAGTCTTGCATTGCTGCCAGCCCCACGGCCTCTTGCAGCCATGCCGCCGCGTGAGAAGGACGTGTACTTTGCCACTCGGCTGTGAAGCAGTCAGCCTCCGCTTGAGCCTTGTGGGCTGTGCTGACTCGCGGTGTCTGACGGCTGACGAGCAGTGTTTTGAGGCCAAGCTTGCCGAGCAGGCAGAGCGCTACGACGAGATGGCCGATCACATGAAGAATGTGGGCAATGCAGACAGCGAGCTTTCCGTGGAGGAGCGCAACTTGCTGTCTGTGGCCTACAAGAACACTGTGGGCTCTCGCCGTGCTGCGTGGCGCATCATCACGAGCGTCATGCAGAAGCTGGGGTGGCAGAATGAAGGATAGTGAAGGTTTGAGTTAGTACAGACGTTGTCACCCTCTTACTGTAGGTTGGCCTTTTCGATGATCTGGTGTGTCGGGTAGACTGATCAAGCAAGGAAGGAGACGACCAAGGGCAACACGGAGAATGCCGCCTATGCAAAGGAGTACTGCAAGAAGGTGGGAAGCTGAAACTGACACGCCCGTGTTGCAATAGTGTTGCTGTGCAGAGCGTTGAAGTCTCTGCGACTGTGGGGCGAGGTTGAGGACGAGTTGCAGTCTATCTGCGACACGATCCTCGCACTTCTGGACGGCAAGCTGATCGCAAAGGCCAGCAGCGGTGAGTCCAAGGTGTTCTACCAGAAGATGAAGGCTGACTACTACCGCCACCCAGTTGCATCGTTTTTAGAATTGTTCTTGTTCATGTGTTTGGAGCATGCAAACAACACTGGAACACGGAATGAGGCTACATCGCAGAGTTCCGTGATGGTGATGCCAAGAGCAGTGCAGCTGAGAAGGCCCGCCAGGCCTACCAAGAGGCGCAGGATGCGTTCCAAATGTGGCAAGCTTAGATACGCCGTCGCCAAACTGACGCCTTACAGATCCTAAAGCCCCGCAAGTACTAGAGTTAATCGGGCCAAAGTCACTTGTCGTTGACGGCAGGCAGAGGACGTTGCCAAGAAAGATCTGGCCGTGACGCATCCCATCCGCCTTGGCCTGGCCTTGAACTACTCGGTGTTCATGTACGAGGTGTTGGGCAATCCCGACGATGCCTGCAAGATGGCGCGCACCGCTTTCGAGGATGCCATTGCCGAGCTGGACAACGTGGCAGAGGACTCTTACAAGGACTCGACCCTGATCATGCAGCTTCTGAGGGACAACCTGACGCTGTGGACCTCCGACCAGGAGGGAGGACAGGCCTAAGCGCCAGTTGGACACACAAGAGACCACCAGAGGATCCGCGGGGCTTCTGTCCCGTGGCTCGGGTGACTGCAAGTTCCGAAGACGAAAACAGCCTTCACTTTCTTGCCGACTTGCTGCAGTCTAGCAGACTCCTAGCCGTGCTGGCGGAGTGCTGGCAATGTCTGCCGGTGTAGCTTAAGCTGCAAGCGTTGTGCACGGTGAACACACCGTTTCGCTGCCCAAGCCGCGAAGCTGCAAAGCTTTTCAAGTTTCAGAGTCTTGCATTGCTGCCAGCCCCACGGCCTCTTGCAGCCATGCCGCCGCGTGAGAAGGACGTGTACTTTGCCACTCGGCTGTGAAGCAGTCAGCCTCCGCTTGAGCCTTGTGGGCTGTGCTGACTCGCGGTGTCTGACGGCTGACGAGCAGTGTTCTGAGGCCAAGCTTGCCGAGCAGGCAGAGCGCTACGACGAGATGGCCGATCACATGAAGAATGTGGGCAATGCAGACAGCGAGCTTTCCGTGGAGGAGCGCAACTTGCTGTCCGTGGCCTACAAGAACACTGTGGGCTCTCGGCGTGCTGCCTGGCGCATCATCACGAGCGTCATGCAGAAGGAGACGACCAAGGGCAACACGGAGAATGCCGCCTATGCAAAGGAGTACTGCAAGAAGGTGGGAATCTGAGACAGATATGTCCGTGTTCTGATGGTCTTGCTGTGTCAAACAAAGCCTTGCTCCAGTTGTGTTGTGGTCGGCAACAAGCGCGACGCTACTTGTATGTACGCTTCGTAAATGTGCGATGGCTTGACTCTTTTGTGTGTGATGGTGTTGTCTAGTTGTCTTGGTCGGAGTGTCGTCGCTTGTCATCTGGCATCTTCCGTCATAGAGCATTGCAGTCCCTGCACCTGTGGGGTTTCAACGAGGTTGAGGACGAGTTGCAGTCTATCTGCGACACGATCCTCGCCCTTCTGGACGGCAAGCTGATCGCAAAGGCCAGCAGCGGTGAGTCCAAGGTATTCTACCAGAAGATGAAGGCTGACTACTACCGCCGCCCAGTTGCATCGTGTTTATTCGGGCTTTGTTGATCATGTGTTTGGAGCACGCAAACAGCACTGTGGCACGGAATGAGGCTACATCGCAGAGTTCCGTGATGGTGATGCCAAGAGCAGTGCAGCTGAGAAGGCCCGCCAGGCCTACCAAGAGGCGCAGGATGCGTTCCAAATGTGGCAAGCTTAGATACGCCGTCGCCAAACTGACGCCTTACAGATCCTAAAGCCCCGCAAGTACCAGAGTTAATCGGGCCAAAGTCACTTGTCGTTGACGGCAGGCAGAGGACGTTGCCAAGAAAGATCTGGCCGTGACGCATCCCATCCGCCTTGGCCTGGCCTTGAACTACTCGGTGTTCATGTACGAGGTGTTGGGCAATCCTGATGATGCCTGCAAGATGGCGCGCACCGCTTTCGAGGATGCCATTGCCGAGCTGGACAACGTGGCAGAGGACTCTTACAAGGACTCGACCCTGATCATGCAGCTTCTGAGGGACAACCTGACGCTGTGGACCTCCGACCAGGAGGGAGGACAGGCCTAAGCGCCAGTTGGACACACAAGAGACCACCAGAGGATCCGCGGGGCTTCTGTCCCGTGGCTCGGGTGACTGCAAGTTCCGAAGACGAAAACAGCCTTCACTTTCTTGCCGACTTGCTGCAGTCTAGCAGACTCCTAGCCGTGCTGGCGGAGTGCTGGCAATGTCTGCCGGTGTAGCTTAAGTTGCAAGCGTTGTGCACGGTGAACACACCGTTTCGCTGCCCAAGCCGCGAAGCTGCAAAGCTTTTCAAGTTTCAGAGTCTTGCATTGCTGCCAGCCCCACGGCCTTTTGCAGCCATGCCGCCGCGTGAGAAGGACGTGTACTTTGCCACTCGGCTGTGAAGCAGCCAGCCTCCGCTTTAGCCTTGTGGGCTGTGCTGACTTGCGGTGTCTGACGGCTGACGAGCAGTGTTCTGAGGCCAAGCTTGCCGAGCAGGCAGAGCGCTACGACGAGATGGCCGATCACATGAAGAATGTGGGGAATGCAGACAGCGAGCTTTCCGTGGAGGAGCGCAACTTGCTGTCTGTGGCCTACAAGAACACTGTGGGCTCTCGCCGTGCTGCATGGCGCATCATCACGAGCGTCATGCAGAAGCTGGGGTGGCAGTGAAGGATTCGGATAGTGAAGGTTTGAGTTAGTACAGATGTTGTCACCCTCTTATTGCAGATTGTCCTTGTCGGTAAACTGGTGTGTCGGGTAGACTGATCAAGCAAGGAAGGAGACGACCAAGGGCAACACGGAGAATGCCGCCTATGCAAAGGAGTACTGCAAGAAGGTGGGAAGCTGAAACAGACACGCCCGTGTTGCAATAATCTTGCTGTGCACAGCGTTGAAGTCTCTGCGACTGTGTTGTTTCCACGAGGTGGAGGACGAGTTGCAGTCTATCTGCGACACGATCCTCGCACTTCTGGACGGCAAGCTGATCGCAAAGGCCAGCAGCGGTGAGTCCAAGGTATTCTACCAGAAGATGAAGGCTGACTACTACCGCCACCCAGTTGCATCGTTTTTAGAATTGTTCTTGATCATGTGTTTGGAGCATGCAAACAGCACTGTGGCACGGAATGAGGCTACATCGCAGAGTTCCGTGATGGTGATGCCAAGAGCAGTGCAGCTGAGAAGGCCCGCCAGGCCTACCAAGAGGCACAGGATGCGTTCCTTTCAAAATGCAACAATCTGTCCAACGCAGTGTCCAAATTGATACCATAAAGCCCTGGGACTATCAGCCACAAGCAAAGTTAGCAGAGCCAAAATGATTCATGTTTACGTCACGTGCCTTTGACAGCAGGCAGAGGACGTCGCCAAGAAAGATCTGGCCGTGACGCATCCCATCCGCCTTGGCCTGGCCTTGAACTACTCGGTGTTCATGTACGAGGTGTTGGGCAATCCCGACGATGCCTGCAAGATGGCGCGCACCGCTTTCGAGGATGCCATTGCCGAGCTGGACAACGTGGCAGAGGACTCTTACAAGGACTCGACCCTGATCATGCAGCTTCTGAGGGACAACCTGACGCTGTGGACCTCCGACCAGGAGGGAGGACAGGCCTAAGCGCCAGTTGGACACACAAGAGACCACCAGAGGATCCGCGGGGCTTCTGTCCCGTGGCTCGGGTGACTGCAAGTTCCGAAGACGAAAACAGCCTTCACTTTCTTGCCGACTTGCTGCAGTCTAGCAGACTCCTAGCCGTGCTGGCAGAGTGCTGGCAATGTCTGCCGGTGTAGCTTAAGTTGCAAGCGTTGTGCACGGTGCAACGTACCGTTTTGCTGCCCAAGCCGCGAAGCTGCAAAGCTTTTCAAGTTTCAGAGTCTTGCATTGCTGCCAGCCCCACGGCCTCTTGCAGCCATGCCGCCGCGTGAGAAGGACGTGTACTTTGCCTCTCGGCTGTGAAGCAGCCAGCCTCCGCTTGAGCCTTGTAGGCTGTGCTGACTTGCGGTGTCTGACGGCTGACGAGCAGTGTTCTGAGGCCAAGCTTGCCGAGCAGGCAGAGCGCTACGACGAGATGGCCGATCACATGAAGAATGTGGGCAATGCAGACAGCGAGCTTTCCGTGGAGGAGCGCAACTTGCTGTCTGTGGCCTACAAGAACACTGTGGGCTCTCGGCGTGCTGCCTGGCGCATCATCACGAGCGTCATGCAGAAGCTGGGGTGGCAGTGAAGGATAGTGAAGGTTTGAGTTAGTACAGATGTTGTCACCCTCTTATTGCAGATTGTCCTTGTCGGTGAACTGGTGTGTCGGATAGACTGATCAAGCAAGGAAGGAGACGACCAAGGGCAACACGGAGAATGCCGCCTATGCGAAGGAGTACTGCAAGAAGGTGGGAACCTGAGACAGATACGTCCGTGTTCTGATGGTCTTGCTGTGTCAAACAAAGCCTTGCTCCAGTTGTGTTCTTTTCGGCAAAAACTGCGACACTACTCGTATGTATGCTTCGTAGACGTGCGATGGCATGACTTTTTTCCGAATTGCATTGTCGGAACGGCGTTGCCCAATATTTGTTATCTCCTGTTGTAGAATTATTGTCATTCCTCTACTTCTGGGGTTTTCCATGAGGTTGAGGACGAGTTGCAGTCTATCTGCGACACGATCCTCGCACTTCTGGACGGCAAGCTGATCGCAAAGGCCAGCAGCGGTGAGTCCAAGGTATTCTACCAGAAGATGAAGGCTGACTACTACCGCCACCCAGTTGCATCGTTTTTAGAATTGTTCTTGTTCATGTGTTTGGAGCATGCAAACAACACTGGAACACGGAACGAGGCTACATTGCAGAGTTCCGTGATGGTGATGCTAAGAGCAGTGCAGCTGAGAAGGCCCGCCAGGCCTACCAAGAGGCGCAGAATGCGTTCCAAATGCTCAAGCACTGTGGCCAATTCACGCCTTGCAGATCCTTAAAACCCCACAAGTACCAGGAGTTAATCGGGCCAAAGACACTTATCCTTGACGGCAGGCAGAGGACGTTGCTAAGAAAGATCTGGCCGTGACGCATCCCATCCGCCTTGGCCTGGCCTTGAACTACTCGGTGTTCATGTACGAGGTGTTGGGCAATCCCGATGATGCCTGCAAGATGGCACGCACCGCTTTCGAGGATGCCATTGCCGAGCTGGACAACGTGGCAGAGGACTCTTACAAGGACTCGACCCTGATCATGCAGCTTCTGAGGGACAACCTGACGCTGTGGACCTCCGACCAGGAGGGAGGACAGGCCTAAGCGCCAGTTGGACACACAAGAGACCACCAGAGGATCCGCGGGGCTTCTGTCCCGTGGCTCGGGTGACTGCAAGTTTCGAAGACGAAAACAAGTTGTTCCTTAATTGAGTTGGTCCAACACCTTCAGCTGTTGCTTTGCCGGGGCTTTTTGTAGCAACTTGATCCAGAGCACGTTAGATCATGCTGCAATTTTACTGCCCAAGCCACAAAGCTGCAGAGCTGTATCGAGGTTGAAAGTCTTCTTGCATTTCTGCCAGCCCCTCTTTCGAGAGGCCTTTTGCAGCAATGCCGCCGCGTGAGAAGGACGTGTACTTTGCCACTCGGCTGTGAAGCAGCCAGCCTCCGCTTGAGCCTTGTGGGCTGTGCTGACTTGCGGTGCCTGACGGCTGACGAGCAGTGTTCTGAGGCCAAGCTTGCCGAGCAGGCAGAGCGCTACGACGAGATGGCCGATCACATGAAGAATGTGGGCAATGCAGACAGTGAGCTTTCCGTGGAGGAGCGCAACTTGCTGTCTGTGGCCTACAAGAACACTGTGGGCTCTCGGCGTGCTGCGTGGCGCATCATCACGAGCGTCATGCAGAAGCTGGGGTAGCAGTGAAGGTGCATTTGTAGCGACTTGTTTCCAGCCTTTGTGCCAGTTTGATGGGAGATCACCTCCGTGATATGCACATGTCTCGCAGCTGAGGAAGGAGACAACCAAGGGCAACACAGAGAATGCCGCCTACGCCAAGGAGTACTGCAAGAAGGTAGGACCTTTGTGACACTAGCGCTTTTGTCGTCCGTGCGCCTGTCGGCTGATGCAAGCATGCGGACTCTGGATCTTTGTTCCGGTCTGACCATGTATAGAGATCTGAGATATTATCTGCATCGAACAATGCACACCAACACCGTATTTGAATTGTTGAGGCCCGTAGTCTGACTCGGACCACTTCAGCCGCCTAGTTCGTGCATTGGCACGGCAAGGGTTTATGAGGGCGTTGTTCTACTATCAAGGCTCAGTTGGTTGTTGCTGCCGGTTCTAGTAGCGAGCTCATCTATTGATGTTTACCTTCGATGGACATCCAGCTCGAGAGAACACCTCTGCATCCGGCTGCTCGTGGCCAGAAAGAATATTCGAACACACCGTGTAGATACGATGGACAGCTAGTTGAACCGATGCATGTAGCAGGAACACAAAGCTTGGTGACCCGATGTCGTGGTCTTAGGCGCCCGGTCGCTATGGCAGGGTCAGAAAACGCGGGACGAAGACTATAGACGCTAGTTCCCGAGACGCGTACTCTGAGGAGCACGTATAAACATACGCAAACAGACACCTCCTTCTCTCACCGCCCCCCTTCCCCATGAAGCCCCCCATGAAGCAGGTCTTGAATTCAAGATGTATAGTTTTTTTTTTTTTTTTTTTGGGGGGGGGGTCTCGGCCCGATGCGCCGGCGTCACCACACTTCAGGGCAATATTGGAATGTCAGTTCCTCCGGAGATATGTTTGAGTAGCTGGGAGGTTGAGGACGAGTTGCAGTCTATCTGCGACACGATCCTCGCACTTCTGGACGGCAAGCTGATCGCAAAGGCCAGCAGCGGTGAGTCCAAGGTATTCTACCAGAAGATGAAGGCTGACTACTACCGCCACCCAGTTGCATTGTGTTTATTTGGGTTCTCTTGATCATGTGTTCGGAGCACGCAAACAGCACTGTATCTTTGAATGAGGCTACATTGCAGAGTTCCGTGATGGTGATGCCAAGAGCAGTGCAGCTGAGAAGGCCCGCCAGGCCTACCAAGAGGCACGCGATACAGTCGACATGCGACATTTCGGAAGCACGATGCCTGGAACTCAATGCTAAAGCCAATAGACTCAAGAGTAATGCCGGCATGACCTGGTCTCGACGGCAGGCAGAGGACGTTGCTAAGAAAGATCTGGCCGTGACGCATCCCATCCGCCTTGGCCTGGCCTTGAACTACTCGGTGTTCATGTACGAGGTGTTGGGCAATCCCGATGATGCCTGCAAGATGGCGCGCACCGCTTTCGAGGATGCCATTGCCGAGCTGGACAACGTGGCAGAGGACTCTTACAAGGACTCGACCCTGATCATGCAGCTTCTGAGGGACAACCTGACGCTGTGGACCTCCGACCAGGAGGGAGGACAGGCCTAAGCGCCACATCGATACACAGCAGCACGCTGGAACTCTGTTCCAGCGTTTGGGTGTGGGGGGAACTTGTGAACTTCCTGTGATACATCGTCGCGGGAGAAAGAGGCAAGTCTTCAGGTTCTGTCTCGGGAGATCTGTCATAGGCTGCAGAAGCCATAACAGTATACCATAACACCAATATAGTGGCATGCTGATTAAACGTAGCCTTTAGCATGTCCCGGAATCCAAGTCTTCGCCAAACCTCGCTGAATCCTAAGCTAGCCCCCAAGCCCTAAACCTCAGATCCTTTGAAGGCAAAGCTTACACGACACCAAACCTAAAGACCCTAAACTCCGAACCCAAACCCCTGAACCGGTAAGGGTTTAAAGGTTGTTTTGTCGGTTTCCCCCTTTGGTCTTTTAGGGTTTCATGGTTCATGGCTGTTCATGGCCACAGGATCCCTGCACAACTAAGCCGGAAGCCTTGGTGGCCCTGACGCCTTAGACCCTAAGCCCTAAACACTAAACCGTAACCGTTACCCTACCTTTGGGCTTCAACTTCAGGTTGGAGCTGCCCGCAGATGTTGCCCAAGAAGCCTCGCGCTGCCTGGCGCAAGGCCAGGCTGCGGTTTCGGCTTTGGGGGTCGACGGTCGGGCTTCGGAGACCTTCAATAATTCCTCAACTCGAAAAGCTTTATCCCCCCAACCCCTAAACCCTAAACCCCTAAACCCTAAACCCCATTGACCCCTAAACCCTTAACCCTAAACCCCTAAACCCCATTGACCCCTAAACCCTTAACCCTAAACCCCTAAACTCCACTGACCCCTAAACCCTTAACCCCTAAACCCCTAAACTCTACACCCGGAAACCAGAGCCCAGAACTCGGACCCTGAAAGTTCAGGGATCCAGGAAGCGTCGGAGTTCATAAGCGGTCGCTCGGTTCTTATTAAGGAATGTAATTTAAGTTACCATTATAAAAAACCATATTATCTGCTATAGATCCCTGTTATGATACTGTAATGCCTTAACAAGACCCCAGGTTGTTCCAGTGGCGGCCGAGCTTGTGGAAGCTTTTGTGGGTGTTTGGACGGGCAAAAGCCGCTTTATACCTGTAATAATAGGGACCTTAGTGCTGCATGCGTATCACCATGCTGATACCTGGATATAGATATCGATGTCGGTATCGGACATACAAAAAGGCTTATGAAGACGTACAGACACACACACACACACACACACGCACACACACACAGATATCATTTTATAAGACAGTGTTTCCTTGTTCGTTCACTTGTGTTTTGCACAGGTACTCCACCATTCCACTCTTCTCTCGTTGCACTATTCGTGCGGCGGTGTTCTCAGTGCTCCTTTGCTCCCACCCTGGACCCTCTACCCTGGGCCTTGAAATTAAAGTCTGGGTCCCTTGGTCGCTCAACCCCAAATCATCCAAAACCCGAATCCCTACAACCCACAACCTGACAGCCTTCACCCCAAACATTGGAATCTGGCCCTAATACCCCGCAGCCCTAACCCAACACCGTAAGCAAAACCCCAAACCCCAGAATCCACGACCCGACATCCCAGCTCCCAAAACGCTAGAATCTGGCCCTGGAAATCAAAGCCGTAAGCCCTAGACCATCCTAAACCTTAAACCCTAGCTAGACCCTACAACCCCGAAGACCTAACCCCTAAGCTCAGCAAAATCCCAGACCCTAAAAACCCTAAAGCCCTAAACCCTAAACGCCCCATGCTCCCTTGTTTCAAGTTGCTAGGCGCCGATGACGGAAGCCGGGACCTGCCCCTGGAGATCACGACGGACCCAGAAACTCGGCGCTAAAGTGCCTTTTGGGGCGTTGGGGGATCGATACGGTTTGGGGTTTAGGGGTTTAGGGTTTGGGGGGTTTGGTTATGGGCTCAGGGTTCCTTTGAGGGGTCCTTGCAGGGTTCCTCAATTAAGGGGTTCCTTCAAGGATTCCTTTGAGGTTATGTTTAGGGTTTTGCCCGTTTTCGGGCCTGGGGCTCCAAAGCAGTTGCATCGGGTTTTGCAGGATTTGGGACTGGGACCCGCATGGCGGATGTCTTGCAGTCGTTAATCGTGGGCATTTGAGCGATAATGAAGGGTAGTTTGGCCATCTGTGGGTTTAGTTTTAGAGTTCAGGGCTCAGGAACCGGTCTAAGTCTAAGCCGATGTATGAGTGGTTCATGAAACCCTCAAAAGTCGTCAACTGCAAGTGTGTGGAGTTTGGGAATCTATGGTCCCCTAAGCGTTATATAGCCTAAAGCCATGAGTGATGGTTTGGACGGGATAGCATGGTTGGGTTGAAGCTTCAACACCACTTCACTGGGTCCGCGATTCATGAGTTTCGGCTGCTTACGCTACGTGGTCTTCGTCGATGTCTGCATGCTCTGCAGAAGTCCTGCAACTTCCAGCTAGAGGTTGAGGCAATATAGGGCCAGGGTACAGCCAGCCTGCCCCCTTTGCCTTTCAAGAGCCACAGACAAACGCCACCTAGTCGGCTTCACCTTACAGAAGACCAGCATTCATTCTCGCAGGTGGCCAGGGACGGCATTCCTTCGGGAAGGAGGTGGCGAGTCAAGGCCTTTAGCTTCTTTGTTTGCTAGCCTCACTGGTGTTACTGGTGGCAGCGCTCCATCGCTTCCGATGTGTTCGATGTTCGAGACTTCTTGCTTAGATCAAGACATAATACTCTTGCGCATCAAGCTGGGAAGGCGCGACACAGTAATATCCACCAACACTGTAGCACCCCATCCCCACCCATCCCTAGCGCTTTGAGGCAAGAACCCACCTGCACTACCGCAAACTTTAGATCCCGAAACATCGAGATTTTGACTTGGACACGCTGGATTCCGCAAGGCATGGGGTGAGGAACTGCTGCGCCCTTGGCAGTCAGATCTCGAGACATGGGGGAGCTCATATCTCTTGCCTGAGTCTGTCTCCACCCAAGTAGCTCAGACATCTTGGGTGTATTCTTGGGCGAGCCTAACCATGCAAGCCAGCCGTGAAACAGCGGGCGTCACAAGGTTCGTCAATTGGCACACAGAGTCGGAATGCCAGCAGCAAGCGGCACCCAGTATCATTTGCAACCAAAAGTGTTACAGCTCGAGAAACAGCAGGACAATTTACGAATGGGGCGGTGCAATGCATGTAGAGCCAACAGAATCACAGACATAGACAATGATGAGCATATTCATGAATTCATGGTTCATACATACTTACGTAGTTGCGCAGTCGGAATGCCGAACATTGAAAGCTTAAAAGCCTTGAGTGACTGAGTATTGGGCACTGGACAGTCGAGTGGTATCATCGATGGACTAAATGGAGAGTACAACGAGACAACTTTTGACATAGAATCGAGTCGTCTTACCATATGAAACCCAAACACAAAACTTCGGTGCTAAACCTAGACTAGACGCTGAGGAAGGGCACTCTGGTGGACCTGCCGTGTCACACCGAGAGCCACCTCCTGCCCCCGAAGTCCTCAGAAAACCCAAGCACGGGTGCAGGGCCCCCAGATTACAGGGCCTTTGCTTAACCTTCGTTTTGGGCTCCAAAGGCTTTCTGCCTCTGTTGCCGCTTTCATATATATATATATATACATACACACACATACAACATATACATACTGATACATACGTACTACGCGCAAGCAAATGTAGTGGGGCAATAAGATTCAGGGTTCGGTCTTGTATCATTGTCAGGACTTATGATGGAAGTGCTTCTCTCAGCTACACAGACAAAAAATAACCGGCCAGTTCTATGGTGTTAGAAGATGACTGCGGCACTGTCCCCCCCCATATCAGAAAACAACTGGCGCTGATCTAGTACTCCCACCCGACGCCTCGAATCCTTACCTCCGTTTAAAGAGACCAAAGGCCGCAGCAAGCTCCTAGCCAGCAGGTGCTGTACAAATCAGCAGACATCACCCAGATGCTCATCGTCCATCGCGAGGATGAGCTGCCTAACAGTCAGTACCTGCCTTGGGCTTGCTGACTGTCGTCATGACCGCATTGCACTTTGTTGTGCAAAGGTTCTTCTGGTTGTGGTGGTTGTTGGAGTGGTTCCTGTTGCTTCTCACACTGGTGTACATCACGGTAGTATTCTGCTGTTACAGCAGGCTTTGTTGCTGTGCTGGCAACTCCTGTGCCGCCAACTGCGATGGTTGTAATGCCGCGTAATTACCATACGACGACTACGACACCGACAGATCCCTACTTCGGATGTTGTGACATCAGCACGTCTGCGTTGGCTTGAGGATGTTAATGTTGAGACCACTGAACTGCCCAGGTTAGAGCAACATGCATCTAAGCCGCATCGCATAGGGTTGCTGCGCTGATTCTGTACTTGCGCCAGGTATCTGGACACAACCAGCTACGTGTGGAAGCCGCAGCCTCTGCATTCGAAACTTGTAGACCCCAGAGCCCCGTTCTCCCACACCCTGACCAGAAACCCTCGCTGAAGTTGCGCCCTTGGCTTGTGAGCTTCTTTGTTTGTAAGTTTAAAGGGGTCTTTCAGCGGCCTTTGTATTGTTTGTGCCCTTGGCTCTCAGGTGTGGTTTGACACCTCCTACACATCTCATCACCAAGCGAAGGTTCCGTGGAGTGCCCCCGCCGGATGCTGGAAAAGTCAACCGTGGAACTGGCGGCATTTGCCAACAGCGAGCATTAGTCCCGAACGTCATTTCACGATGTTCAAGGTTTACGACTACGACTACGACTGCTACTACTACCACTGCTGCTGCTAGTACTACTGCCATACTGCTACCGCAATTGCTACTGCTACGGCTGCGGCTGCGGCTACGGCTACAGCTACGGCTACTGCCGCTGCTGATGACGACGACCACCACCACCGCCACCACCACCACCACCACCACCACCACCACCACCACCACCACCACCACCACCACCACCACCACCACCACCACCACCACCACCACCAGCAGCACCATAGCATCATGTGCCGCTGTTACTCCTATGTTATCAGGATCCCTGTTGCAACCACTACT